CTTCCGCACCCATAGACTCACCACCACCGCCCCTCTCCGATCACATCATCAGCTATAGCAGCCTGAGCCCGAGCCCTTCTCCACCTGCACCTTCTCCTAAAAATTGTCATCCTATGCAAACTCATGCCAAGGCAGGTACTTTTATTTGGCTTTGCTTTTATCCACTTAATGAAATGTTCGTCGATCCCGGTTATATCTTTAACTATCTTCCTCTCGAATACTCAATCGAGGAGTATATCCAGTTCATCGAGGGTAGTTATTAATAACGAGATGCGTTCATTAATAAAACTTACTATTGAGTCAATATAGAACAAGCGCCGTATATTAACTTGATAGTAGCTATAAACTTAAGATGAAAACGACTGAGATTGATAACCTCAACACAAGCGGTTTATTGGTTTAATCAATATAATTAATTCCTCTTGGCTTATTAACCATGAGAAGCATGTATTAACAATCCAAGTTTACTACCATTGAAAGAACCGAATTAATAACAAGCGTATTAACCGATTGATTCTAGTAATAATTAATATATGAAACAAAACTAATTGATCCTTTAAGTAATGCTCAAAATATTAATATGGAATATGAATAGGAAGTAATTAATATTCAAGGAAGAAGATTAAAGAAAATAACTCACAACTTACAAATCATTAAGCTTCAAAGTAGCAAAACCAAGATGGAAGAGTTTAGCTCCTCATTTGGAGACTAAACATGAAGAAAATATAAAGAAAGAACTTGTCTAAACTGAGCTAAGAAGTTTATAGGAATTGGTGATCTTTTGTGGAAGAAATGGGGTGTATTTATAGGCTTTTTAGGCTTGCAGGGTCGTGTACCCGATCGGGCTGTAAGGGCACTCGATCAGGTACTCGGTTGCTGCGCAGAGGTGTAAAAAACTGGAGTATACCCGATCGGGTATGTCGGCCACCCGATCGGGTATAGACACTCGATCGTGGTCAAAATCTCCCCTGCATGTTGCCTTGTTCCCGGGTTGATCCGATTTGATTTTTCAACGACTTACCCGATCGAGTATAGAGCATACTCGACCGGGTACAATACCAAAAATCAGGATCTTCATTTTTTCTTGGAATTTTTGCACCTTCCTTCCACTTGTGATGTTCACCAATGGTCCCTAGAGTGGTCTTGGACCTGTTTGAGCTCAGAATCAACCTAATCTAAACAATTTTACAAACTAAACTATTACACCAAAAGTGTGTAATTTCTAGAGTAACAATCATTCAAAACTAATCAAAAACACAAATATAAACATAGAAATAGCATGAATGTCACATACTCACCGTGTTGTCAATAGGCATTGTGGAAGTGTCCTTTTTACGTGTTGAAATTAAATCGGAATAAGGAAAATAATTTTCAAAAAACCGCACATTCCGATTTATGTAAATCTTGTCAGTAATAGGATTAAAGCAACGATAACCTTTGTATTCAGGGGCATATCCTAAAAAGACACACAAGGTGGATCTAGGAGACAGTTTATTGGCAGAAGTGACATTAAAATTTGGAAAACAGACACAACCAAAGACACGCGTAAAAGAGAAGTCAGGAGATTGGTTGAATAATTTTTCAAACGGAGATATGCCATTTAAATTTGGAGTAGGGAGCCAATTAATGATAAAAATTGCGGTAAACACAGCATCTACCCAAAAATTAGCTGGCAACTTTGCATCAAAGAGCATAGTGCGAGTTAACTCAAGTATATGCCGGTGTTTACGCTCAGCTACTCCATTTTGTTCAGGAGTGTCGGTGCATGATTCACGAAAAAATACCATTTTTGGTAAAAAATTCGCGCATAGCATGATTATCAAATTCACCCCCTCCATCACTTTGAAAAATTTTAATTCTAGCATCTAGTAAATTTTCCACCATAGATTTAAAATGCTGAAAATGTCTCACCACTTCACTTTTATTGCGCATGGGATAAAGCCAAGTAAACCGGGAAAAATCATCAATAAATAAAACATAATATTTGAAGCCATTTGAAGAAAGAACAGGAGACTGCCAAACATCAGAATGAATTAAAAACAAAGGAGTAGTAGATTTATGCCACACTTCTTGAAAAGGTAATCGTTGTGATTTTCCTAACCGACAAGAAATACAATTATGAGAAAAATTAGAAGTACTAAGAACACTGCCAGATTTTTTTAATCTATCTAAAATGCGACTTCCACAATAGCCCAAACGACAATGCCAAATAGGCCCGGGAGCAGCTTGAGAACTGAGAGCAACTGGGGTCGGCTAAGTGATAGAAGTAGGATAAACGCCACCATTACTGGAAGCTTGGATGAGCACCTTCCCCGAAATTGTGTCCTTAACACAGACAGAATTTTTATCAAAAATCACAAAACAATTATTATCAGCACACAATCGTTGGATGGATATAAGATTATATTTAATATTAGGCACATGAAAAACCGTTTTTAAATGGAGAGGCCGTGGTTTAGTAGCTAAATGCAAATTACCAGTAGTCATAACAGGGAGATTAGAGCCATTAACAACTATAATTTTTAGTGGTCCAGAATAAACAAATTTATTATGCAAAATACCTTCATTTGGGGTCATATGTCACGCCCCGGACCTACCGGACACGTCAACAACCCGCCGTACAGTACGAATAGTCAACCGCAGTCCAACTCGTCCATACAATACTAGGCGTCTTGAATACCATTCACAATAGTACATCCATAAACAATCATAATGTAAAATAGTCAATTTAAGCAGTGGAAACATCAATACAAGTGTTCAAGCCACACGTGGCAAACATGGGCATGCAATCCCCCAAATGATTATTCAGAAAATAATATCCATGAGCATTTAAAATAAATATTTTTAAAACAGATACGGAGGAAGTATGAACCACGTCTTCCCTCCTTACATCTTCCCGGAGCAATGGGCGATGGTAGCAACCTTCAAGTTCTACCTGAAACTGTGAGGTGACCTCCCCCGTGAAGGGGAGGTCAGTACTTGGAAGCATTTGACAAGTACAATGACAACTATATTAAGTATAATCTATGTTTCAATTTCCAAGACCCTCAAATAGAATGATATTATATTATAGGTCATAACTCTTGGTTACCCTCTTTGAAAATATACTTACTTTATATGTAAAGTCAAGTAGTCGGCCCGAAGGCCCATGTTTACTTTGAAAACATTCAACCCTTTCCCCGTGACTTCAAGCCACGCCCATCTATATTAATTCACCATGCTAGAGGCTTCCTCTAGTCATGTTTTGTCGTGCTAGAGGCTTACTCTAGTCACTACACTTGGTGTTAGAGGCTTCCTCTAATCACCTTACATACGTTGTGCTGGAGGCTTCCTCCAGTCACATTACGTTATGCTAGAGGCTTCCTCTAGTCATCCTACATTACGCTAGAGGCTTCCTCTAGTCGTCCTACATGAATGCTGGAGGCTTCCTCCAGTCATTCTTCATCGTGCTAGAGGCTTCCTCTAGTCATGATACTAGTTCACTAAGCAAATTCTATGCCTAGAGTTCCTCTACTATGAGTAGCCTTTGAGGTCTACTCCTAATGTAACTTAGCAGTTACCCATTTCTACCTTAAGACATCTCGTAAGACTACTTAAGGTGCTTCTTTCACAATCCAAGCTCTTAGGATTTACCCTATCACTTTTCATACTAGCATTTCCGACTAGTAGATTCAATACTAATCCATTAACCCTTAAGCAACCAAGCTCTTTAATTTCACATTTATAGGGTTCATTCCTGTGGATTTTCCAACCCGTATATGATTTAATCTCAATATAAAAAATATCACTTTTATCCATTCATGATTTCTATACATGAAGTAAAAGTATATTTCATCCCAAAAATTTATGGTTTATACAATCATCATACCATCATATTTATAATGCATCACCATACAACATTTACTCATAAATTTGTATGTGATGCATCTTTCATTCATAAATAATGATATTTTCATTTAGGCATTATTAATCATTAATAATCCATGAAAATCACATTTAATCACCTTAGGCAATCTTATGAAATTAACCCAAAGATTATAAGCAACATAGTCAGCCATCCTCACCTTATGAAGTGCTGAAATAGTTGCCTTTGTTAAGCCCTCCGATCAATCCTCGTTCTAAACCGATTGAAGATGAAAATCCTAGGCAGCAGACGAAAGCCGGGCGGCTTTCACAAAAGGTGGGCGGCTTTCGTGGTCTGCAGCTACGAACAGCCTCCTTTACTTGGCGGTTTCCGGCGGTTTCAACTCCTATCGATTCCACGACTCTTCTAAGTTAAATACCACCACTTTATAACATTATTCTACACTTTTAAACGTGTAAAACTCATGGTTTAATCCACCATATGATTTCTTAAAAAATCATACAAAATAATACTAGTTAGGGAGATACTAGTTGAGTTCTTACCTCAAACTTAGCTCTTTTGCTCTTGGATTTTCTTCCTCCAACAATGGTGTTTGTGAGAGCTTTCTCCCTGAGCTCCTTACTCCTTTGGTTGGCCGAGAGAGAGTGCAAGGGAGATAGAGGAAAGATGCCTTCTCAATCAACACAAAATAATTGTGTGAGAGACATAGGCATGGGCTTTTGTCTCAAAGGAGACTTCCCACCTCCCCCCTACGCACCTAGCCATCATCCTTGCCCCCCCCTCACTTATTTGAGGTGAAATGGTGTGTAAAAATACCCCAAGTGGGTGTAGGAAGTCCTTCCACTAGTACAAAAATGCCTTTTTACATCGGGTTTTTCACATGGGTTATCTTACATCACATGTAGAATGGTTACATGGGGTTACTTTCATAATTTAAATAACGTTTTCTATATCGGTCCATAATTTAACCGATGTCAAATATAAATTCGGGGTGTGTTTTATAATAAAATGAAACTTTTCTAGCTCGGCTAAAGATTAATCCGATGTAAAAAGAAAAAACGGGGTACATTTCATAATTTACACTAATCATTACATACATCGGTTCATTTAATAAGCATGTGGATTTGTTCTAATAAACGAAACTGGCTACTCAGATGTTATTTACACAAACCCTACACTATTTTTCATAGATCTGCATCCAACAACGGCAACAGTCTGAGCGATAATCCGTATCCACCACCGTATACTTAGATATCGAAGGGCCAGGCGACACCCCCAGCCACCACCATTGCGTCCAGCTCCAGTCCATCTTCAACGGCGACAGCCCCAGCCACCACCGTTACTTCCAGCTATGGTCCATCTCCAATGGCGACACCCCCAGCCACCATCGTTACTTCCAGATGCGGTCCATCTCCAGCGGCGACACACCAAGCCACCACCGTTACTTCCAGCTCTGGTCCATCTTCAGCGGCGACAACAACCCACAAGCAACGACGTCCCAAATTGAGTCAGAACTATCACACCGGCCACGTTCTCCACCTATAACTGGTCTCACGTCCTCTTTTCTTGAGGTGATGTTGTTGTTAAAAGAATTGTTTATTTTAATCTGAAATTCCTATAATTTACATTTTTATTAATATGTATTACTATGCTATTTTTTAGTTTACATTAAACTATTCTTTATTATGATATACGGATTACTACGTGTATTTTATTGTTATCAGTTGGTGTTCACTATTGTCCATGTTTGTTAAGTACAGGGCAAGTCCCTGATGAAATGTTTGGTAGAGAGTGAAGCTAGAGTATGCTCAAGATATGGCTAATCGGTTTATTTTAACTAATTGGAGTAATCTTTGTTGTCATATGTTCTTCCTTTTTCGTTTTCAAGCATCCAATAAGGAGGTTGTAATTTTTATTGCTAGAGAGTTTGCATTTAGGAAGAAAAAGAGTATGCATTTAGAACAAATGCACTGATGCACAGAAGGGTAAGTTTGTTCTGCTCTAAGAAGGGCCAGGTTAGGTTTTTCTATTGTGAGGGCTTCTTGCTAAGGCTTACTGTTACAATATCTTTCTTTGGAGATATCTTTTTTTTTTGTTTTGTTATGTTTTTATATAACTTTATATAGTGCAAGAAGTCATAGAACTATTATAAGTGCATTTAGCTTACACTTCCAACCTCTGTCCTCTAAAGGGGGGGGGAAGAACTGTGAACATGGGGGCTGATCTAAGACAGACTCAGAACCCGGGTGCCTACAAGCGTAATTATACTAGCTAAGTGTAATTCATGTATGGGAAACATCCATAAATTAGTGAACTTGTAATCTATATATTTATATATTATTTACGAGTAGAACTGTAGTGTATTATGCTTGAAACTTACCATTTATATATTTATTTTAGTACTGTAGGCTGCATGTAAAGAGCAGAAACGTATTAATATAATTGGTACCCTGATTAGTCAATGAAACAAATACATACATTAAGTTAGATGACATGGATCAGATTTCACAGTTTATACTTTAAAGACAACTTCGTTACCAAATAAGTTTATTTAATTAATTTATTCACTTATTTAGTGCTATCAAATCAGATTGGATCTACTAATGCAATTAGTTCGGATGAAAATAAACTATTTAATAAACTTGGTCATTGCAACAGATCATAATTGCACTTTGACTTTTGGGAATTTATATATGGTTTAATAATTTGACTACATAAAACTTCTTTGAGAATGCATGTGAGACTCAGTCTGCTAAGTTTGAGATTATTTAATTGAAATTTAAACAGGTATCATCAACAAAATTAATTAAATATGGGACATGTATATTCTGATTGAAACTTTATGGTCTAAACTAGTTAGGACTTGGGTATAATCTGGTCTGAAGTCTGAACCAAGTTTCTTTAACCGGAAATGTGTGCTTTTTTGCTAAGATATATATTAGGTATAATGGTAAATGTTCATGTAGTGAAATAAGTCACAAACCTATTTTATGTGCAGTTTAGGTTAGATTTCCATCTGATTTTTCTTGTGGCTTTGCTGGTCTTTCAGTTGGTATGGAAATTGGCATCATATGTGACACAGGTGTGAGGTATTATCTTCTCTTGAACTGTTTTAATTCAACTCAGAAGGTTTTATTATTTGTTAATTCGATTTTACTCATGATGGTGAAATGTTAACAAGGAACTTATAAGGCCCAAAATATAGTTTGTTTTTCCTTCCTGCAATCAAATGTCTTTCTAAGAATCATTAGGACCATTTTCTCTCGAATCCACTTTCATGCCTATGTTAAGTGGATGTTTGGCATTCAGACGAAATTCAGCTCTTTATCAATGTAAAAGTAGTTCCGTTTGGATATAAGGCTGGTATGGAGTTATGTACTAAAGTTTATAAGAATTAGCATAAGTGAAGATAATATTGGTAGCTTTTATCCTTGTGACCCAATAATGTCATTCAAAAAATTGATTAAAGGCAGTGGACATTGTATATTGTACCTTTTGAAGACTCAGTCTATGTATGGGTAAAAACATGATTTTTAAAGATAAATTAAAGATGATATAATTATTAAATATCATACAGAGGTCTAAAATTTGGTTTCGTTGTGCTTTTGGTGTATTTTGTAGGGTTGGAGTTGCTTTTGGACTTTGTAGAATCTACCAGCCCCTCCATGTAGAATCTAAATGCAAAATAAATGATAGAGTTTCACTTTTGCCCAATGGTGCAGCCCCTCAGTTTTGACGATGTCAAAACTTTTACAATTCACATCCCCTGGATCCACATCGGTTCTTGAACCGATGTTAAATGTCTTTTTTGACCGATGTGAAAAGTGATTTTTGTACTAGTGTTCCCAATTATTCCTGCTATTTTTTGGCAGGTTGGGCCAGAATAGCACTTGGGTTGTCCAAACATTTTTATCAACTTTGGTTGGCACCTTATTTGGGTTTCTATAATTATCACGATGACCTAACTAAATATTTGGTAGCCCATTCTCATATATTGGACCCGATAAATAATTTAATTAATCACGCATTAATTAAATATACTGATTATGTTATAGGATTTTATTCACTAGGAACTTCAAATACATATCAAATTCCAAATTCAAGTACATCCGGGTGCGGTGTCACATCATATGAGTGGAAGCACCTGAGTCAGGATACCAAACAGCTGGAGTGGATTCACCAGTGGAGACAGCAAGTGCAGGAGTCGAAGCTTGAACAAAACGAGACGGACATGAAACAGCTGAGTGGCCTAGAGAGTGACAAATTTGACAAACGACAGGTGGAGGAACTGAACCAAAATTATTCTCAAGAGATGGAGATCCTGCATAAGCATAGTTAGTACAAAAAGTAGATAGAGCAGGAGTAGAAAACGATGACTCAATCGTATTACATAAAACTGTACCATGACCCCAATGATTTGGCTGAGGAGGCCCTCGACCGGATGATGGCTGTTGTGGATGTTGCGTAGCCTGACCGTAGTAGGTCGGAGGCTGGCCGTACCCAGACTGCTGCTGCTGGTACCTGCAACGGCCATAACCACGACCTCGGTTTCCGCGTCGACCGCCATGTCCTCCTCGAGAGGGCTGCTGCTGTGGATCGCTAGAGGAAGAGCCGGCATGTCCACCCCCTGTTGAGGAAGGTGCAGCGAAAGCCGGAGTATTAGCCATCGGTTCCAAGGACTGTTGGTAGCGTAGGCGTGCCTCTTGATGTACCAATTTTGTACCCAATTTGTCAAAAGTGAGCCCTTCAGGAAACAAGGTCAAGGGTCCAACCAGTGATTCATATCCCGGTCCCAATCCTAAAAGAGTATATTGAATGAGATCAACATTGGAGATCGACGAGTTGATGGAGGCCAAATTATCAGCAAGAGTTTGAATTCCACGAACGTACACCTCCATGGATTGATTCTACTTTTTGGTGTGAGACAACATCTGTTTCAACTCCATGGCGCGAGCAAGACTGGCAGCCATGAATCGAGACTCCAATCGTTCCCAAATGGCAAAAGAATATTTCAAGGTATGAACCTCCATCAAAATTTCACGGGATAGGGTAGCAAATAACCAAGCACGCACAGTTTGGTCCAATTTCAACCAATGATAATATTCAGGATTAATAGATCGAGCCTGATATAAATCATAGGTATACAGAGGTGGAGCTGGTAGAGACCCATCAAGAATGCCCAAAAGACCGTTAGCCACCAGAAAAGACTCAAATTGGGTTCGCCAGGGCAGATAATCTTCGACTTTTAGCAATTTGGAGGTCACAATTTGTGCAATTGAGGCTCCAAAAGTCATACCTTGAGCCAAAGTAGCATAAGAAACAGGGAGAGAATTATCTACCGGCCGTCGATGCTCAATAGTCCAAGCCGGTTGTGGCATGAACAACCCGGGACTGCCGGACAGTGTGGGACCGGCGAATCGTGCTCGAGCAGCACCGGAATCACCCATCTTGGCCTGCGAGTCGGCTGTAAACAGCGGCGGCATGTCTAACGGAGGCGGCTACAGCGTTGGTGGCGTCGGAGTCCATGTAAAAATAGGTGGCACCCATGAAGAAGAAAGCGGCGAGATCGGAACATCATCGGTGATGATGGACGTCTGCGGCGGCGCTGAGGAGGTGGGTCGCGTCTGTTGAGCCGCGCTCAAAACTGCCGTCTCAACCGCCATGGTTGACCCGGCGGAGGCGACTATTGTTTCGGCAGCAGCGGCGGTCGTAGTTGGAGAAGCCATTGAAAAAAAAAAATTAACTGGCTAAAGACCTAGAGCTCTTGATACCATGTGAGAATAATGGGAAGACTTGCCAATGTGGTAGCCCTAGGTGTCATATATAATAATAAAATTTATCCTGAATACATTAGGAAACTTAATAAAGATGGAAACCTAATTAATGAGTATTAATTACACTATTAAGTACTTCATCCGCTCTTAAGTGAGTGCATTATAATATTGAATTTTACATTATTCACATGTTCTGTTTTGATTACGCTTTATTTCTTAATATATTAATAAACTATTTAAAAAAATTAAATTTGTGTGATTGTAAATTTTCAAATTTTGAATTGTTTAATTTATTAATAGAGAATAATATTGCGTATATAATAAGGTCAAAGTTTTGCATTGGCAAACATGACAAACGGACTGTAGCACTTCTTTAAGAAGAAAGTATAACTTTAAGAGCCCGTTTGGTGACTCTGATTTTTTGTTTATCAAGTTTATCAGTCAACATTTTCACCAAACACGTAACTTTTGATTTCGAGCACTGAATTGTGTAATTATAAGAAAAAATAAGGTTGTAGTTATTGTAGAAGATCATTTTAATTGTTTTTCATATAAATTTGGCTTTATCTTACCAATAAAATATAGTTTAAATATAGTTAATATTACCCGAAATAGGACTAAAAACGTTTGAAAATTCCAAAATAGGATTGCCATATTTTTATTCTCAAAAAAGGAAGTCTGGTATTGTCATGTTTTGGCAGTACCAGACTTCAAACATGACAGTATTTTCCAAACTTGACAGTAATTACTCCTATTTTGGGAATAAAAAATATGGCAGTCCTATTTTGGAATTTTCAAACTGTTTTAGTCCTATTTCAGGAACTTTCCCTAATTTTCTCATAAATCTGCATAATCAGACAATTCAATCACTTCAGGCAGAACTTCATAAATTTCAATAAAATCAGATAATACAGTCGATTTTAGTGTTATCAAACGCGCTTTAAGGATTCTTTCTATCCAAAAAATACTATTATCATCGTATTCGAAGAACGGGGACTTATGGATATGACTGAATCTTTTCTTAGACCAGTATCTCTCCTAAGCTTTTGCTTCTACTTATCTATATCTATATCTATATAATATAATAAAGCAAACCCCCAAAGAACCCTTTAGAGGAATTCTTGACATGTGGCAACATCCTTTGTATAAAAGAATGACATGTGACAACACAATAAATTAAAGAAAAAGCTATTCAACTTCCAAAATTCTACTCTTATGTATTCCAATATTATAGAAAATTTGCTCTATATAAAATTAGGTAAAATTTTAGGCGAAATTTTGCACTCGCCGGTATTACAAAATCTGAATACTCCAAAATAAAAATAATTAATGATTTTTAGCCACTATAAAAAAAATATTACTCTCTATTTCTTTTCTTATAAACTCTTGGAGAATTCTCCCTTATTCAAGCTTTTTATAAATTATTTCTTATTCTTTCAAAAAAAATTGTTTCTTGATTCTTTCCAATGTCTCATTAATTTTCTCCGACATTTCTTTTTTCTTCTATTCACTAAGTTTGTGTAGCTTTAAATATTACAATGCATGTGTAGTTCTAAATCATTCTTACAATATTGTCCCTACTTTTTCATTTTAACATTAGCTAGATAAACTCTTTTTTTTAATAATTGCACATGTCTCGATCTTAATTCGTAAGGGGACAAATGTGATATTACTCATCTGCTCATATTTATTTATTCGGCGCAATTTATGTTCACGTTGTTAAATGGGTTAGCAGCGCACTCCATTGTAACCGAAATTTCTGTTTTTTTCTGGTTTATTAACACTGGTAACACACAAAATATACTTCTTTTGTTCCAATTTTTCTTGGAGTACATTGGGTGCATGATTGCTTTTGGATAAGCTTTAAAAAAATTGTGGATGTCAATTTGTTGCTTCAATTTGTGGATGATCAGTTAAGACATTATTAGGATAAGTTTAAAGACATTATTATAATATTTGAATAAAAACATAGGAGTATAAAATGTTAATAGGATTTAAAAAAACACATAGATTTTTCTTAAATATCCATGTTTTTTTGGAAACCAACTACCAAAAAAACACATTGATTCTATGAAACCAACTGCCAAAAAACTTCATAGTTTTTACTTTATAGTTTATGTTTTATTGTTTATGTTAAATTAAATTTTTAACTAAAAAAACTTTTAACTTCATAGTTTTCACACTATAAAAACTTTATAGTTTTTACTTTATAGTTTATGTTTTATTGTTTATGTTAAATTGAATTTTTAACTAAGAGCTTTAGTTAAAACACTTAGACTCTTAGTTTAGCTGCATCAACAAGCTTGTAAACTTTAGCTATTTATAGCTAAAAAACAATTCTTGAAAGGAAATTGTAGCTAACTGTAAGGTTAAACTGATGCTCCCTTTTTGGTGACTGGTCAAACCGATGCTTCAGAAAATTTATGCTCAATTGATTTTCCTTTGTTGGATGCTGGTCAAACCCATTCTCCCTTTCCGGTGGCTGGTGAAGCCGGATCTTTTAGTTGTAATTTTTTATTTTCTTTTTGGAGTAGCAAGAAGAGCAGCAAATCTGTTAGGGTAGACTACATTATTGCGGGGTTAGCGATCTGGAAGAATTTCTTGGATCTGTTCCGTTCTATGTCTCATCCCATTGTAGTCTTAGGCTATTCATTCTCTTGTTATCTTTGCTATCGTTTAATAATAAATTAGTTATTTGATTAAAAAAACATATTTAATTCACTATTAGTAAAAAGTTAAAAAAAACTCACAGACGAAACAATTTTATCATACAATCGATTAGTACTGCGTATTTTGTTTGTGACTTTGTGAGCACTAGATTTTCACCCGTGCATTGCACGGGACATAAATAATGTAATAACTATATTACCCTTATTTGTTAATATTATTAATTATTAATTCATGTATAAATGTATGCAAATAGTAAAGACGTAATATACACAACAAATTATAGTTAAGAAAATTACAATTACGACTCTTTGAGGGTGTTTGGAAAATGGTGTTTCGGTAAAAAAAATGGCAGTTTGACCCCCTTTAGTGTTTTCAATAAGTGAAAACATTGTTTGATAAATAGTTGTTCCGTGCATGAAAGTGTTTTTTTGTTTATTCAAATTTGTATAACAACTATGAAATATTACAAATTACTATCTGCTTTTAATAGTATAACATGTTGTATCTATTTTCTCATATTTTGGATGTACTTATATAATATTTACATGCAAGTTTTAAATAAGTGTTATGCATTGATCTACTAAAACATGTTCCAGGATTTTAAAATTTGTACAATAGCACCTTCTATGGTTATATAAGTTGTACTGACAGAACTAAAAAGCCTTGTGATGCTCATTTTCTTACTTATTATGAGTAGTTTAAGTTTCAACTGTTAAGAGTATTGATTTGATCAATCCCAATACAACTACAATGTTGAACTATAGCTTCCATTCTGCTTAATGGCCATTTTAGCCCCAAATATATAAACTTTCTGATCTGTAATACGAAGTACCATTATGCCTACTGGTTATTCTAGACCTTCACGTTAAATTATTGGTCAGTTGACGGCCATATTTTTAACTTAATCTAGTCTTAGTTCTTTCTTAATTTACTCTGTTTATAACTCAATTTCTTATGCAGTACTTATTATCTATGCTCATTCTATAATCCACCTGTCGATTGATTCATGCATTTGAGCACACATTCTTAATTTTTAATAATCTGCATGTGATTGGCAAAGCATTGTCTAGTCTTATTTAAAACACTAACTATCTTATTATACAATATTTCTATGTCATTTTAAAAGGACCTTGTGATGTATCTATTTATAAAAATTTCTGTAAAAGTGATTTGAAAGTATAGTGTTTAATAGTATTCTAACATACTTTATTTTCAAAAACGTAAGGGTCATTAAACAAAAAAATATGATTGTATTATGTGGGATCTAATTGAGATGCGTTTTAACATGCTATCATCTGTTATATTTGAGGTCTAATCCAAAAAGATTGTTTATATATATAAAATGTATATTCGTAGGATCATGGACCAGAATAAGGTGCCCAAATGTAATTATTAATTAGTTAAGGTAAGCGACTTCAAGGTGTTACTTTTCCATGGTCAAAATCTCAGGCATGATCTTCATCATCTTAACTTTTAAGTAGAACTCTTTGCTTTTAAAATCCCATCAAAGCAAGGTTGTTTCTCAAATAAACTGCTGACTAAATCTGTGCCTATGTTTATGTAATGAGCAATCTAAATGTTGACTAAATGTGAATCTGTATTTCAAAATGGACCTAGTAGGGTTGTTGATTTACTTCACTCATATATTTTAGTTCTGAAACCTTAAGGTGTATAAAACTAAATACCAAAATGATCTTAGTTTTACCTTTCAGATTTACCTTTTGTTGTTGCATTGATTATGTTAGAGAAACATAATTTCCCATGCTATCTGTGTATATCAATCTGCCAAAAAGAATACAAAAAAAAACAAAACTTAGATGAAATGAAAAATAATTTCCCACATCCCTCTTTTGGTTGATGAACCTGCCATTGATTAAGAAGCAGCAACAATTGCTTGTGAAATGCTTGCTGGTGGTGTGGTTTGCAATCCATATTGGGGTATTTATGGGGCAGAATGGACTAATGGAGTGGCTTCTCATAACAAATACTCCGTAGGTTTAACCATTGATCCATTGAACAAAAATCTTCACTAAAGATTTTGTAGTACACTCAATAAATGAGCCAAGCATCGGCCAACACCAATACATTAAACTTGTTCTCTGAGCTTTGATTTAAGGATATTGAAATGACATTCAAGGATTTTGTAGTACAACTTAATTAATTCGAAATTTTCTGTAGCCCTTTTTTAATATTAAATTTGGTCCTCCTTTACCATTGTGATTCGTGCAGCCCCACTTGGTGTCCCAGCTTAATTAATTTGATATGACTGTAGCTCTTTTTTAATATTAAATTTGGTCCTCTTTTAACCTTTGTGATTTGTGCAGCTCCATTTGGTGTCCTTTTTATTGAGCCTCACAATGCTTTCTTGGGTATTGGACATGCATTTAATGCCAAACAATCTCGGGCCACAGAAGCTGTACAAATACACCCAACCAACCCAGAACAGCATATCAGCATGAAACAATCTGTCATCAAGCTTTGTAGACCCGACCCGACCCGCTTCTAACCCGACCCGACCCATTGATGTGACGTTTTTAGGCGGGATTACTGTGCAGTTTTTCTCCTGTTGTATAATAGAAGATGTTAGATAATGATTATGCTTTAACCAGGGGTGGATCCAGTAATTTGAGAAGCCCTGGACTGAATAGGAGTTTTACTAGGCTTTAATATCAGAGGGGTGGGCTAAATATGAAAAATGAAAAAATTTACACTAAAATATTTGAAAATTTTCTAAGTTGGTGTGGGCTTCACCCTACCACAGCTATAGGTTGAAAATTTCCCCTCGCTTTAACATTGTATCGTCATTCAGCTTATTGTTATCCTCTTCGGTAATGTAAAGCATTTTATGTCAACGGTGCACTGCATATGCTTGATTGCTCGTCTTTCCTATGTTACTCCGATCCCATACTGAATCGCCTGTCTCCGCGGAACATCCATTTTTCTTCCATCTTCTGCCTTCTCTGACCATTATCCACCGAAGCAACCATTCCCTTGTTCCCTCAGCTGAGAATAGGAGTGAGTCTTCATTGTGATTTCCGATGGAGAAAGTCAACTTCAGAGCCCATGTCCTAACCAGGCACCTCAACCTTGTTGACCCAAGTCTGGACGATTCCCTGATCCTCCAATCCTCGCCCTGCATCAGCTACTCTCCGCCGGAGCTGTCGCAACCTGCGGCAGCTTTCGACGAATTCGAGATGCGGAGGTTGATGGGCGGACACCACCTGGAGGACAGGGACTGGCTGTATGGCCTCATGGTACAGAGTAAGCTCTTAAACCCGAGATCAAGAGGTGGCAAGGATTATATTTGTCCCGATTATAACCAGTCTATGGAGCAACAGAGAGATATTACCATGAAGAGAATTGAATACCTCTCTGATTGTGGGTTGTTTCGAGGATGGCTCACTGAGAAAGGACCTGAATCTGAGCTGAGGAAGCTTGCTTTTCTAGATGTAGTAGCGATTTTTGACCACTCTTTGGGTATCAAGATTGGTGTTCACTTTCTTTTGTGGTATGGGCATTTCCTTAAAATTTTCTCCCTGCAGAAATGTTAAAGAGATTGTCCAAAAAAAATCAACTTAGAAGATTTTGGGTTATTCATTTCATCATGTCAAGCTTTAAGGATGAAATAATTGGTATTGGAACCAACCTTGTTGCATAACAACTGAGGATTGGGGCTTGTGGGTGCCTGTTAAAATCTTGCAGTCTTGACAAGGTGTCAAGCTCTCTGAGAGTGTTAGAAGAGTTTGTCCAACATTTACTAAATACTCAACTATAAAATAAGAAATCAACATTCACAAGATTATATCAGTTTGACTTGTGAGGATGGGATGTCAAATCTTAATAATAATATACGGAGTATTTTCAATGGAATCTCGGGTTTCAAATTGGATAGTGTTTGAGGTGACAAGGTGTTGCGAATGGGTTGAGACATGAACATTTTCAGGAGATTAAGAAACTAGGCCCATGTATTTATTTTAAGTGTAAGAAGCACAAGGAGTGTAGATTGTTTCTTTCTGAAGCAATGTCAATTGCAAAAAACTTGATATAGTGGGGAATGATTCTTAGAGCTAGGAAAGTTCTGACTTTGGACATGGAAAGTTGAAAAAATTCAACCTTTTCATAAAATTAATGTAAGGGGAAACAACTGGACGAACAAGAATCTTAAAATATATGAAAGGAGTTTTTTTTTAATGAAGAGAACACATTGAGAGAACATTGTATGCAGGGGCGGACCGTAGTTGAGACCCAGGGGGGCTACCGCTCCCTCAGCAATTTTTTTTTTTAAATGTATGTATGTACGAAAAATAATTTCCGCCCCCCAAAAAAATATTAAAATATTTTGTTTAAAAGTACCGCTCTCCCAAGATGAATTTCCTGGGTCCGCCCCTGATTGTATGTGGCACCATTAGAATTTTATGGAACTGCCTGAGAGACATCATAGATGGAGGAAACGTAATAGTGCCAGATAGTTTGTCCTCTCCATGTATGGGAGAGGACCATCATCCATAGGTGTGCACTGTCAACTTGGCAAGTAAGTTATGTTCCATACCAAATACTTCCCAGTTATATTAGAGGATGGGAGTGAATTCCTAATAAGATTGTACCTTTTTTGGAAATTTATTCTTGGATTGATGATGATTGAGTTATTTTGGGATAAATATTATGTAGATGCCTGCATACATACCAATTTCTTCATACAATCTGGCTTATCTGGTGTACATTGATGTCCACTACACCATTTGAGTGGTTGAGGCCTCTAGGTGTTCGCATATTTTCTGAGATATTTTGTTCTTTTACGATTTTTGGGGTGGAGCAATCCAGTTTCTTGGTACAAAGCGCCACCATGACAAGTGGGTGAAGGCTGTTTTTCAATAACCGAGTTAGGACATGGAAGTAATGTATGTGATGTTTGTTAATATATTTCTAGTTTTAGTTACCTGGTACAGATTATAGCCTCTTTTATCTTATTTTTTTCTTTCCATATGACATCTTGCCAGGTTCGAGGTATTGAAACAGTTACAACCTGTGACTCAAATACCCAAGAGTTTGTCATTAACACTCCGTGCGAGTCAGCTCAAAAGTATTGGATTGGTGGTGCAGCAAATGTTGCGACTTTTCTTGATCTTCATTACATTTGATCTTTTTGAGGACATTACCTAAATAGGCTAAAACGCCCAAACAGGACCATCATTATTTTTTCTGAAAATATTACTTATTCACTATTTCACTCCTAATAGAAGACGCTTTAACTACTTTTATTCTTTTATTAGGACTGAATGAGACCTAATTTTAGGACAAAACAAAATACTCTTATTTGGGCACATCACTCATGTTTTACTCCTATTTATAGCAATTTGTTATCATTTCCCCTAATTATATTGTTCTGACATGTATTATCTTGTGACCATATTGTAGCATGCAACGCATACAGTGGTTTTCTCACAACTCATCGTTGATGGAAAAAATGAAGGGGTACATGCATTTGTAGCTCAGATCAGGGATAAAAGTGGAAATGTATGTCCCAACATTCGTATAGCTGATTGTGGACACAAGATCGGTTTGAATGGAGTTGACAATGGCCGCATCTGGTACTAAAGTGAACTTCATATTCACTTGAGCATGTGTATTTTGACAATTATCCGATCTTGAGATTTTTCCAAATTAAACTTACCAGGTTTGACAATGTCCGGGTACCTAGAGAAAACTTGCTGAATTCAGTTGCTGACATGTCCCCAGATGGGAAGTATCTTACTGCAATTAAGGATCCAGACCAGGTAAAGCAACCAGTGAATTCCACAAATAAGACTAAAATATACTCCCTACGTCCCATTTTACCCGTCTTGCTTTCCTTTTTGGGTTGTCCCAAAATAAGTGTCGCATTTCCCTTTATGGAAAAAAATATATGGTTCACAACATTTCACTTAGAATGAGTGTGCATAACCCATGTTGTAGTAATAATTCCATTAAAAACCCATCATGTTTGGGAAGTGTAACTACAAATACACTTTGCAATTGTAATTGCTGTTGTTGTTATTAAAACTATATTACTCTGTAATATATACTACTACTACTACTATTTATTTATTTATTTATATATTTATTTTTTTGTTTATTTATTTATTTGTTTATTTATTTATTTATTTATTTATTTATTTATTTATTTATTTATTTATTTATTTATTTATTTATTTATTTATTTATTTATTTATTTATTTATTTATTTATTTATTTATTTATTTATTTATTTATTTATTTATTTATTTATTTATTTATTTATTTATTTATTTATTTATTTATTTATTTATTTATTTATTTATTTATTTATTTATTTATTTATTTATTTATTTATTTATTTATTTATAATTTATAATTTATATTGGGCGGACATTGAGTTTTTCTATGGGATGGGAGAGGCCTCAGAAGCCCTAAAGTATATCTGTATATCCTTGAAGCTTATTATCATGTTCAGCCCTTTTCTGAGTATAAGAGCTCTAATTAGATTCTCTGTTCAGACATAAAATTTTAGGATACATTTAGTAGATAACCATGCAATGTTTTTTCCCCAGAGATTTGGAGCATTCATGGCTCCTTTGACATTTGGACGTGTGACCATCGCTTCGAGTGCTACTTATTCAGCAAAGGTAAACAAGCATAAAGCTTGTATGGTTTAACCGATGTAGGGGTGGGCATATTGGTTCGGCCCTAGTTGTAACTTGCTTGGATGAGGATTGAGCTTAAAATAGGTCAAGATCATCCAAAGAACCAAGATTGGACCCTAAAAATTCAAGAAAGTTCGAAAAAATAGCTCATGTACCTGATCGGTTTAACCAAAGTGAAACCGAACCATATGCAATATGGTTTAAATTTGGTAGAATTTCTTCCAAATCATATTAAACCGAACTGAAACCGATAAAAACCGAATAAAACCGTATTGAAGTAAAGAAATTCAATTAAAACTTCATATATTATTAACATATCCAAACAAATCCAAACCAAACCGAAATCGATAAAAACCGATATGCCCACCCCTAACCAGAATTTAGTTGCAACCAATTGGTAACAATATTTAGTTTCACTCATTAGGTTGCCTTGGCAATTGCCATAAGGTACTCATTAACAAGGAGGGCGTTTTCTATTACACCTAGTGGACCTGAAGTTCTTTTGCTTGATTATCCAAGTCATCAAAGACGGCTTTTGCCTCTTCTCGCAAAGACGTAAGTTTTTTTATATTTTAGGTGGACGGTGCACATGAACTCATGAGAATGCCTAATACTTTTTTTCCTTCATGAGCTGGACCCTGTATGCATCTCCAAGGTTCTCAGCGGTTTTTAACATTGATAGCGAGCTCTTCAACATTGTTATTTCTTTTTTTTTTGTTTGTGATTTCAGGTATGCCATGAGCTTTGCTGCAAACTCCTTAAAAATGTTGTATGTGAAGAGAACACCTGCAATGAACAAAACCATACATGTTGTGTCCAGTGCATTTAAAGCTACCTTAACTTGGCATAACATGAAAACTCTTCAGGTAATAGCTGACATGCTTTAGCAGTTGATTGTTTTTAGATGTCATCGGGATTCCATGTGTTTTTTTTTCAATTTGTTTTTTATGAATTGAATCAGGAATGTAGAGAAGCATGTGGAGGCCAAGGGTTGAAGACTGAAAACCGTATTGGTCAGTCAAAAGGGGAATTCGATGTTCAGTCTACCTTTGAGGGTGACAACAGTGTCCTTATGCAGCAGGTAATAATATTTAGGGAAAATATTTCAGCCCATCAAACGGAGCCTTCTATAAAATTGGAACGTGGAATTTCATTTATCTCAGACAAAACTGAATTATCAAGTGTGTCAGACAAGTATTTTTGGCAGCTTTTCCAATTACTCTTTATAAAATGCTTTCTCATAAACTTGAAATGCAACGGTTTGTGGTGCTATATATTCAAGAAGATATGACTAACAGAGATCATCTATGATACCCCCAGGTTAGCGAAGTACTCCTAGCAGAATATGTGGCTGCTAAGAGGGCGAATAAGCCATTCAAAGGGTTGGGATTGGAACACATGAATGAATGTACTCCAGTTATACCTTCACAGCTCTCCAGTGATGCCCTAAGGAGTATCAGTTTCCAGAACAACATACTCTGCCTTCGTGAGAGAGACCTTTTGAATCGCTTTGCTGCTGAAGTTTCACACAACCAGTCACAAGGACAGAGTAAAGAGCATGCCTTTGCTGTGGTAAGGTGTCCTATGTATGATGTAGCTTATAGGAAAGGAGGCCTTTTACTTAAAACAGCCTAAAATAGTTTTTCTCTTACTTTCTTTTACCTACCAGAGTTATCTGCTTGCCGAAGACTTGGAAAGAGCCTTTGCAGACCATGCAATTTTTCGAACTTTTGTGGAGGCCGAAGCTTCAGTGAAGTCCATTCCCCTTAAGGTAATAATCTCACATTGTTTTAGAAGTTCCCGTATAGTATGTGAGCTTTTAAACCAAAACGGACCGCAAACTACCCAAATCAAACTATAATAATCAAACCGAACAATGTATAGTAATATAGTTGGTTCCGTTTCCTGTTTTTGCTTTAAAAACTTACCAAACAGACCAACACCGAAAAAACTGATCGAAACATGTCAAAACTTACCAAAACTGCCATGGACTAACAAATATATCCATACCAGTTTGGTCTTATCGTTTTTAGCATTTTTCAATTGCACCAATAAATAATTGAATCAACTTAGCCGAATTTGACAAAAGCGACGGGCACCCCATAATCCCCACTAGTTGGGTACTTGGGTTCAGTGACATCAAGTTTATATGCTTAGTTTAATGAGTATACACTACTTAGCACCATAATTTCATGCAAAAAAATAGTACTGTAATAAAGTTTACCTTAGCTTCCCTTTTTGTTGAAACCATTACACATAGGTATAATGGGATGCATTTCCAAAATCCTTTTTCAATATTTCTACTTGCATTGTGCTAGTTATTGCAGCCTGTCATCTCCATTTACAAGATTAATATTTTGAAGTAAATTTGTAAATATAAAACACAAAAACGGAAGGAGGCACTTTCAGTCAAAATTTCCATTGATAAAATACTAATATTTTAATATCGTTTACTTGAAAACTTTTGTACTTAACAACAACAAATGAAATATTTCTATTCTAATACGTGCGATAAGACTGAATTCAAGATCACACTAATGTTAAATGCTCAGAAAACATGATCATTATTAGCATCTTCAGTTTTTCTTTGACTTGTGCCCAATGCACAAGACTTTAGTGAATTTGAATTAATTTCTTGCAGAAACTGAAGAGCGATGCAATGAAGTTGGGATTCTTGTCTTTGACCTTTTTGCGAACCTGGGAGCTTCAGGTTGTATGACATGATATTTGTGCTCTTATGTCATTGAATTTAATCCTTATCTGGTAAAAGCATTTTATTTATGTAGAGGCATAGCCGCATATAGTTGTGATGGGCATATGATATCAGTGGTTATTTTCTTCATTGTTACCCTCCTTTATTTTCAGAGGAACAATTAGATTTTCCTGTTCTTTATGCCTCTGCTAAAGAAGGATGGGCTTCATCGGCTTATACAAAGAGTCCACCAAACAATGCCAAAGACATGTCTGAATTGTTCGATACAATTGTACGCCATGTTCCTCCACCAACTGCCAATCTGGATGCACCTTTTCATATGTTGGTTGGTACCCAGACCGTCAATGCTCTAGATCAATACTTGCAAAAAACATTATGCCCGCATTATGTCCGCATTATGTCCTTGTAGTGTAGAAACATGTGCATTAGTATATTTACTATGTTAATTACTGCCTGTTAAGTGTTCCTTTTTTTGGAGTACAATTATGCTTGCTTATAGGAGTATAGGACCTAAATCGCTTGCTGATGAGTTGAATGTCCTTTTAACCAGATTGTTTTAGTCAAAAACTTGTGTCAGTCATCAACTGATTTACTCACACAGCTATATTTCTTCCCAAATTGGAAAGTTACAAAAAAGAGAACAAAACAGGAAAAAAGAAGTAAACAAGGCATAAATCTTTGATATATGGTTTTACTTTTTCTTCAGCTTGAGAAATGTTTGAGATAGTTGATGTTGAACGTTAAGTTTTCTCCTCATATTTTACATATTTAATTACTTAATTTTTACAGCTCTCTCATTACCTCATGCATTGTGCAGAGAGGTGTAAACAAAAGATTCCGGTTTAGAAGACATTCGTGTCAAGGCTTTCAAAAATCATTTCGAAGACCGTATTCTACCTCTTCCACCCTTCAAGTTGGTTCTAATATCATAATTTTCAACTATAGTAGTGGGCACGTAGGGCCATACACCGGAACCTTTAATAGGTTCCGCCCTGCACGTATCATTCTCTTTGCAAAGGACTGTATTGATGAAGATGTGCTGATTAGAATATGTAGAAGTGACGATAATGACAATGTCATTAGGGTTTTGTGCATCGAGTTTGTGTTGAAAAGCATATTATGTGCATTGGCTCAACTAAACATGACATTAAAAGAATTTTTTGCGCTACCGTATATTCACACGAACAACGTTGATATTATGAGGTTTGTGTTTCATTAATAATTTGATTGTGTTTGTAATTTTTTAAATATAGAGTTGTTTAACCTTTAATCTTTTCCATAAATAATAGGGGAATTCTTCTAGGCTTGATGTATTTGCACCAGAGAGGCATCACATTGCCAAACTTGAATTACGACAACATTCTAGTTGTGAAAGAAAAGTCAATGTTTAAAGCTAAGATATCTAGCATAGAGGCTGCTATACATGGGAGTCACCGAAGAAAGGAAATAGATATGCATAAAGTTGGTTTGATCTTTTATCACATACTGGCCGGAGAGTTGCCTAAAGATCAGATCCATTTTAACATTTATATACTGAATGAAAATTGTCTAAATGTTGAAGAGGCTAGACACCTTTTAACTTTGCTTGTTCACCTGAGTCCATCACATAGGTAATGCACTAAATATTGTCAAAAAGAAAGTTATAAACTTGAGTTTTTGGTGTTGATTACAAATGTTTTGACAGGCTCAGAGCTGAAGAGGCGCTGAATCACCCCTTTTTGGGGGGGATGAAAAGTCCTTGTTGTTTATTAGGTACGCCAGCGAAATTGTCGAGAAAGAGAAGGATTCTATTGTTACGAAACGTCTCAACAGAGCCGGCGCTTCCGTGTTAAGCGACGGTGAGCGATGGTTTGATATGGTTGACGATAGGATCACAGAAATGTCGGCAAAGCGTAGGAAAAGAGATTATGAGAATGAGATGTCTGGGCTATTGCGTATGTACCGAAATGTTATAAGTCATCATTTGGAATATCCCTCCACATCGGGACATTTGTCTCCGAAAGAGCTCAGATCTTATGTAGCAAGGGTGCCGAAGTTCTTCATAGTTTTGTATGCTGTATTCAAAGGCCTTGAAGACACTCTGCTGAAGAAGTATCCCGTTTTAAGGAACTATTTATAAACTTATTCTATCACATGGGACCCCAGGGGAGTTAGCTCTCCAGACTGTGCAGTTAACTTTTTCTCAACTGCATTCGGAGGAATTCAGAATATAGATCGTTCAGAAGTGTGTTCAGTAGATCGAACTGATATGTATCTTGCATTAGATGACTTGAGTTATCCTTTGTTGACTATTGATCACTGTTACTCTATTAGTGTACGACTGACAACCAACCTATCACTAATAGAGTAACAGTGATCAATAGTCAACAAAGGATAACTCAAGTCATCTAATGCAAGATACATATCAGTTCGATCTACTGAACACACTTCTGAACGATCTATATTCTGAATTCCTTCGAATGCAGTTGAGAAAAAGTTAACTGCACAGTCTGGAGAGTTAACTCCCCTGGGGTCCCATGTGATAGAATAAGTTTATAAATAGTTCCTTAAAACGGGATACTTCTTCAGCAGAGTGTCTTCAAGGCCTTTGAATACAGCATACAAAACTATGAAGAACTTCGGCACCCTTGCTACATAAGATCTGAGCTCTTTCGGAGACAAATGTCCCGATGTGGAGGGATATTCCAAATGATGACTTATAACATTGTGGTACATACGCAATAGCCCAGACATCTCATTCTCATAATCTCTTTTCCTACGCTTTGCCGACATTTGTGTGATCCTATCGTCAACCATATCAAACCATCGCTCACCGTCGCTTAACACGGAAGCGCCGGCTCTGTTGAGACGTTTCGTAACAATAGAATCCTTCTCTTTCTCGACAATTTCGCTGGCGTACCTAATAAACAACAAGGACTTTTCATCCCCCCAAAAAAAGGGGTGATTCAGCGCCTCTTCAGCTCTGAGCCTGTCAAAACATTTGTAATCAACACCAAAAACTCAAGTTTATAACTTTCTTTTTGACAATATTTAGTGCATTACCTACGTGATGGACTCGGGTGAACAAGCAAAGTTAAAAGGTGTCTAGCCTCTTCAACATTTAGACAATTTTCATTCAGTATATAAATGTTAAAATGGATCTGATCTTTAGGCAACTCTCCGGCCAGTATGTGATAAAAGATCAAACCAACTTTATGCATATCTATTTCCTTTCTTCGGTGACTCCCATGTATAGCAGCCTCTATGCTAGATATCTTAGCTTTAAACATTGACTTTTCTTTCACAACTAGAATGTTGTCGTAATTCAAGTTTGGCAATGTGATGCCTCTCTGGTGCAAATACATCAAGCCTAGAAGAATACCCCTATTATTTATGGAAAAGATTAAAGGTTAAACAACTCTATATTTAAAAAATTACAAACACAATCAAATTATTAATGAAACACAAACCTCATAATATCAACGTTGTTCGTGTGAATATACGGTAGCGCAAAAAATTCTTTTAATGTCATGTTTGGTTGAGCCAATGCACATAATATGCTTTTCAACACAAACTCGATGCACAAAACCCTAATGACATTGTCATTATCGTCACTTCTACATATTCTAATCAGCACATCTTCATCAATACAGTCCTTTGCAAAGAGAATGATACGTGCAGGGCGGAACCTATTAAAGGTTCCGGTGTATGGCCCTACGTGCCCACTACTATAGTTGAAAATTATGATATTAGAACCAACTTGAAGGGTGGAAGAGGTAGAATACGGTCTTCGAAATGATTTTTGAAAGCCTTGACACGAATGTCTTCTAAACCGGAATCTTTTGTTTACACCTCTCTGCACAATGCATGAGGTAATGAGAGAGCTGTAAAAATTAAGTAATTAAATATGTAAAATATGAGGAGAAAACTTAACGTTCAACATCAACTATCTCAAACATTTCTCAAGCTGAAGAAAAAGTAAAACCATATATCAAAGATTTATGCCTTGTTTACTTCTTTTTTCCTGTTTTGTTCTCTTTTTTGTAACTTTCCAATTTGGGAAGAAATATAGCTGTGTGAGTAAATCAGTTGATGACTGACACAAGTTTTTGACTAAAACAATCTGGTTAAAAGGACATTCAACTCATCAGCAAGCGATTTAGGTCCTATACTCCTATAAGCAAGCATAATTGTACTCCAAAAAAAGGAACACTTAACAGGCAGTAATTAACATAGTAAATATACTAATGCACATGTTTCTACACTACAAGGACATAATGCGGACATAATGCGGGCATAATGTTTTTTGCAAGTATTGATCTAGAGCATTGACGGTCTGGGTACCAACCAACATATGAAAAGGTGCATCCAGATTGGCAGTTGGTGGAGGAACATGGCGTACAATTGTATCGAACAATTCAGACATGTCTTTGGCATTGTTTGGTGGACTCTTTGTATAAGCCGATGAAGCCCATCCTTCTTTAGCAGAGGCATAAAGAACAGGAAAATCTAATTGTTCCTCTGAAAATAAAGGAGGGTAACAATGAAGAAAATAACCACTGATATCATATGCCCATCACAACTATATGCGGCTATGCCTCTACATAAATAAAATGCTTTTACCAGATAAGGATTAAATTCAATGACATAAGAGCACAAATATCATGTCATACAACCTGAAGCTCCCAGGTTCGCAAAAAGGTCAAAGACAAGAATCCCAACTTCATTGCATCGCTCTTCAGTAACTGCAAGAAATTAATTCAAATTCACTAAAGTCTTGTGCATTGGGCACAAGTCAAAGAAAAACTGAAGATGCTAATAATGATCATGTTTTCTGAGCATTTAACATTAGTGTGATCTTGAATTCAGTCTCATCGCACGTATTAGAATAGAAATATTTCATTTGTTGTTGTTAAGTACAAAAGTTTTCAAGTAAACGATATTAAAATATTAGTATTTTATCAATGGAAATTTTGACTGAAAGTGGCAATCTAAATCTGAAATTCAGCATTTCAGAGATTTTTTTTTTGAGCTATTATTGTAGCCAGATCAGCCTTACATTGCTTGGATTTGAATCAATTTTGTATTGTTTTAATGATGTATCCCCGCTCTCAAGCCTTACTTTTCTAGGTTCCATCCATCATCACTTTACACAATAAATCATTCTTCATCATCATCATTACCTCAGTGCCGCCAAGGCTCCCACCTATGGTGGGGTAAGGGGGGTTGGATGTACACAGCCTTACCCCTGTACTAAAGCACAAAGAGGCTGTTTCCGGATGACCCATGGTCAAATTCTAAATTGCATGAACAGACTGCTACATTCCATCATAATCTCAAGCCATTGCAAATGATGGAAATTAACACAAGAAATCATTGTTCAGTTGAAAACAAATGAGCAATTTTAACATATTTGAAGTATAGTATACAATGTTAAATTGGTTGCTACATGGTTGACTGGTTGTCTGTAAAAAGCAACAAGAACAACCCCACAAATTTGCAGGGTCCATGTCAAATTGTGAACTATTAGCACCTAAAGAGACGGTAGATGAAGAATAGGACCATAGATACCTGCAGGCTTGTCTACTTTGTTTAGAAGAAGAACAGGACGTAAACCATATTTCAAGGCCTTGACAAGAACAAATTTTGTCTGTGCAAGTGGTCCTTCACATGCATCAGCAACTAGGATTGCTCCCTCGACCATGCCAACTACACGCTCAACCTATGCCAAGGAAATTTTAAAGGAAAAAAAAACGGTTTAGTTCATGTCAGCCCACAAAACTCCAATAGAACATGTATGTACAGGAGATTGAACTTTAAATTAATTCCCTAAACAAGCAAGAAAACTTGTGGCGCATAGAATTTTCCAATGGTAGACAGGTGCATACTTCACCACCAGAGTCTGCATGTCTAGGAGTGTCAACCATGTTCAGCTCATTTTTTTCCCATGATAGAGAGGTAACCTGTGAGCAATAAAAAACATATCAAATGATATAGGTATGCCTACACACAGAAACCTATAATTCATGACTCTTCCGGAATATGGTCAGCTACACATGATGAATGCACTCATTGGCAAGTCTATGGAGTTGTTTTACTTAAAACTGAAAGAATTACACATTGTGCATCACATGCTATGTTAATTCATTATGCTATATCAAATCGTGTACTCACTACTGAATAGATCCTGTGCATGGCATAGTGAGATACTAATTTTACTTAAGGAAAGAGAAAATTATTATTTTGTAATAGTTTTAGTGTACAGTAAGTAGTGCTCTACACCACTAGCTCAGATTCTCAGAAGGTATACCTCCTAAAAAATATCATCACGCCAGCACAGGCGACAGCTGTATGACCGACCTTATCTCATCATTGCCGGTGGAATCAAACAAATTGTGCCAGTTTTTCCGAATAAGTTTCTTAGTTTAAGAAATCAGCATTAAGAAATAAAAAAAGAACAGAGTGAGTGAAAAGTCTGCAGTACTGGAGAAATATGTCAAGGGACTCATTACGGGGGGGGGGGGGGGGGGGGGGGGGCTTAAGGAGAGCAGAATTCTCAATTAACTTGAATAGATAGTAATTAACTATAAGAATCAGAATTGGCTATATATGTGGTGCAAACAAAGCCAAAAGAAATTTCACCTGATCTCTCTTATTTTCCAGGAAAAGAGTTCTTGTGAGTTGGGATTGATAAAATCATACGTGTATATTGTTGTATGATTTAGTGACTGCTAATATTTATTATTTAATTCAACTTCGTTTTTCTCCTAGTAGTTAAAGTGTAAGCTTACACTAGTCCCATTGCATTTCTTCTTATCTTGTATTATACTACGTACTCCGTAATATATTGTAACTATCACCTAATCATTATGATCTCACCATCTGAAATATTGATTCTTATGTGAGATTTTACTTCATTTCCCGAAGTTTTATTAAAGCCAGATTGTGAAGAGCAATAAAATGTTTTCATCTTTAAAAGTAAAATGCGGACCTTGGAAGCAGTTGTGATACCACGCTCGCTAGGGATGGACTCGGGCCGGGCCAACCGGCCCGGAACCGGACCGGCCCGCTACTGTGCGGGCCCGGACCGGCCCGGTCAACCGGTTCGGTTCCGGTTCGGGCCTCCAGGCCCGGTGGTATACCGGTCCGGGCCCGGGCCTCCAGTTTAGTGAACCGGCCCGGCCGGGCCGGGCTCGGTTCGGGCCGGAATTTAATTTTTTTTTTTTTGAATTTTTTTTAAGTTTTGGGTTGGATTAGGTATTTTGGGCCATTTGAGGTGGTTTGGGGTGGTTTGGGGTGGAGGGGGAGGGGTAGGGGGTTAAATAAGAGAAGAAGAAGAAAAAAAAAAAAACATTCCGGGTGGCCCGGCCCGGCCCGGCCCGGTTCTGGCCCGGAACCGGAACCGGAACCGCCCACCACCGGTTCGGGCTCGGGCCTCCTTTTTCTGAACCGAGGCCCGGCCGGGCCCAGGCCCGAACCGGGCCCGAACCGGAACCGGTCCACCCCTAACGCTCGCGCTCGAGGCTGATAGAATCAAGAGCACGCTCGGGTGGGATGTCAGCGCCGCACGGGCGGAGGAGCCGGTGCATGAGAGTGGTCTTGCCGTGATCGACATGAGCTATGACGGCGACGTTCCTCAGCAAGCCAGGATCAACCGCACCGCCAGGGGTAGCTGCAGGCGCTGTAGCTGTGGCGGCTGAGAAGGCCCGGGCAGATCTAGTAACCCGTGCATAGTTGTGTAGGATGGAATCAGAGAAGAATGTGGAAGGGAAAACTCTTCTAGAAGATGACCAGAGAGAACGGAGCAATGCACCCGCCATTTCTGCACAGTATCGATGCTTGCTTGGGGCGTTACAGCAGCTTAGGCACTTGCTTCCTCTACCGCAACAATTTCAAGTTTGAGTAGAACTGTCATAATTTTTATTCCAAAATAAAAATAATTACTCTCAAGTTTGTAAATTACTGCAATGTTTGAAGTTTGTTATTATCAAAACATGACAGTAATTAGTCCTATATTGGGAATAAAAACATGACAGTCATATTTTGGAATTTTTGAACCTTTTTAGTCCTATTTCGGGATATCTTGAGATAATTACACCTAAAACTTAAAACTGAATCGGTTTTCCAATGTATGACATAACTTGTTTTTTTTCTCATAATAATATTATTATTCTTTACATTTAATTAAAATTCGTAATTAATTATTAATAATTAATTTTCATGGAAAAATATACCATTTTGCTTATATTTATAAAACCCTAACCTTCTACCCATTTTCTACAACCCAAGATTCAACTTCCCAACACTCCCTTTGCAGCCACCGGTCGTCTAACCGCCCCACCATTCAGCTGCCGCCGCACATCGTCCAGCCTCTGCCGCAATTTTGAAGCAATGCAGAATCTGCCGATCTTCAGTCTACTGGCCTGCAAATTGAGATTGCGATTGGAGAATATACTTTTGAGATTAGGTTTTAGATTGAATTTGGGGTTTCTGGACATTAAATATGGGCATTGAACACTATCACTGAATATTTCAATAAGTGTTGTGGATGGTGAATATATATATATATATATATATATATATATATATATATAGGGTCGAGATCCTATGAGAATGAGTTACTAGGAGAGAAATAAGAAAGAAATACAGCCCTAGATCATTAGCATCGGATGGTGATTAATTAAGCACGTTTAATACAAAAAAAAATGGGACGGACGGTTTTAAAAGGAAATTGTGCAGCATCATTAATTGATAAGGGCATGAATGTCAAAGAACATAAACGGTTGGGATTCGTATCGCATAATCATCGGTGCACTACTTTCCTTATACCGTCCACTTACCATGAAACTCCCGCTTACCAAAAACAAAAAACAGAGCGCCGGTGCAGGAGCTCATTAAACAAAGCGGCAGACTTCAAGGAAGCAAATTGAAGTGAACAAACCCTAATCCAGAGTGCACGAAGAGGTACGCAAGTCAGAGATGGTGACCGAAGAAACATGCAACACCATCAGCGTGAAGAGTGCACGAACAGGTAGGAGTCGAATGTCTGAAATTTCGAATTAATTTCTTTGATTTGGAATTGATTTCAAGCGTATTAATCAATTTGAAATAGTGCACCGGTGCTGTGAGTGTGTGATACATGTAGTTGAATGAAGTAATTTGGGATATGTAGCATCAAGAGTGCAGGAACAGGCATAACTCGGATGTTTGGATTTTGGAATTATTGTTTGATTTGTAATTGATTTCCAGCGTATTAAGCTAATTGATGTAGTGCACCGACTGTATAATTGTGTGATAGATGATGTTGAATGAAGTAATTTGGGTCAAGAAATAAGAGGTGTTAAATTGGTAAGGGACTCATGCATGGGGATGCACAATGCCATTTTAAACGTTGCATATATGAATGGTTGATAGATGGTGTTGGTTGACCTTTTTTGTTTTGGAAAACGTGAATAGCAAAAGAAATAACAAAAAGTGCACATACGGATTTGTAAAAGGTGCAGACACAATGTGGTTAATAAAGTTAAGAAGAGGTGCAAACAACTAAGATCGATGTAGAAAGACTAAACCTAAAAAAGTGTGAACATTGTTTTGGTGGAAGTTTTGAAGGTTTAAAGATTTGAGGTGTTGTGTAGTATGAATGGATTATGGGTGCATGGTTAGTGCATAATTTGTAGCATCTTAATAACATATGGAAAAATTTAGAAAACAACACAGTAAACATAATTATAATTAACTGTGCATCAAATACTAGTAAGTGATCAGTTTTTTTGGTTTGAGGTTTTTCCTTCGAAATTTTGGAGGTTTGTGCAGCATGAATTGAATATAAATGCTGGATGTTTGTTTGGAAATATCTGTTAAATCAAATGTAAGTAATATTGTGCAATTTTTTTCTTTGTTGACTGTTTGAAGCAGTACCTGAAAATGAAGGGTGCAATACAAGTAGGGTAAGGTTGCAAGAAAAGGAAGGAAGCAGTAACATGGCAGTGAGAAGGAGTGCAAGATTTGTTCCTAATATGGACAAGATTGAAGAGCAAGACAAGCTTAAACGAAAAGAAGCAGAGACCTCAAGAGAAGGAAGAAAGCTTGGATTACAAGCTGGTGATATTGAAGTCGAAGATAGTGATGAGGACTTCGTTACTCTGCCAAAAAACAAGAAAACCAGAACAATAGGTACTTCTGAGACCATTATACAGGGGAATGAAGATGAGAAGGTCATAGAGTTTAGAAAGTTGCGAACAAGGTCTTCACCACAACTCCTGGTTAGAGCAATGAAGGATATGAATAACATACAGAAGGAAGCGGTGAAGAGCATTGGGTTCGGGAAGCTGCTAGAGATGGATATTAAGGAACTTCCGACAAAGTTAGGCTATTGGGTAGTTGAGAATTTCAACCCAAGGAAGTGTAGTTTGATTGTGGAAGATCATAAGGAGGTGCACATTACAGAAGCAGATGTTGCAAGAGTACTTGGGTTACCGGTTGGCGGGACGAAGATTATGCCAAAAAAGAAGAGTGAGACATGTGATCTGGCGAGAGAGTGGAAGGGAATGTTTGGGAAGGGTGACAGGAAGATAAGCCCTTCTGATGTGTGTGATATGATGCTTCTATGTGACCAAGGTGGGGATTGGTTTATTAGGCACTTTGTTGTTCTATTTATGTCTGTCATAGTGGACAGCAGACCAAACGGATATGCAAACTGCAACATCATGAATAACCTTGAGAATGTGAAGAAAATAAAGGACTTAAATTGGTGCGAGCATGTATTGTCATGCTTGATTGATAGCACAATTTCATGGCATCAGAACAATGACAAAACTTTCACAGGACCATTGTTATTCCTCATGGTAAGTTAAAATGAATTTTTAAGATATAATTAAATTAGTATGCAATGTGTGTATATACTAACTGTTGAGTGTAGCTTTTTTATGTTGACAGGGTTGTTCTGTACAAAAGAAGCGTGGATAGGTGTTGGCCTATTGTGAAGGGATGGAGTGCAAGATTGTTGAAAGAAAGAGAGAATCTTGAAATAAGCTGTGGTAGTTTTGGCACAAGATTTATTGATGAGCCAATGATCTTCGAACAAGAAGATCCAGATGTAATAGAGAAAGAAGATGACCTAGTTGCTGGAGCACAGGGTGGGGAGAAAGTAAGTACATTATAAACTCACATTAAGTTACATACTATTCAGTGCAGATGTGTATGCACAGTAGTGCATTATTAATTCCATATGAGTGCATGATTGGTGTATATACGCATTAGTGCACTATGCGTATCCAAAAAACGATATCGTATTTTCAATATGGTTACAAGATGTGGAGAAAAATTACAATAACACAAAATAAATGCAGTACAGTGTGTGCTTGAAATAATAGGAAATTGAACTTTTGGTTTAATTTGTGAAAATTTAAAGTTGGGGTGTGTTCTGCATTAAGAATTGAATGTGAGTGCATGATAAATGTGTGCACATTAGTGTAGAGTAGAAATGCACATTGATACGTTTTTAATGCATAATATTTCATGATTGATGTAAAAACAGATGTTCATGGAGAGGTTTGCTAATTCTTTACTGGATTTAATGAGCATCATGGACACAGCTCCAAATTATTTATTGGTCAAACAAGAATTCATTACGATGCGTGATTGTGCACAAAAGCTGATTGTGATGGAGATTCCAGCAAATAATGGAAGTGGAGAGGTGAACGAAGAAGAAGTTAATGATGACAGGGAGGACGAGGTTTTCTGGAGCGATCCTAGCATAATTTCAAAAATAGATGAAGTTGTAAATGCAAATGTGAAAGAGCCGATGTCAAAGACAGGGTTAGAAGAAATTCCATCATTTTCTATTGGACTGACTCAAGAAGCAACAAATAATTTAAATGTTGATGTTGGGCAGCCCAGTGTGCAGACTAACAAGGTAATATGTATAAATGTAAATTGATTACTATGAACACAATAAATTGTTTAACAACATTGGCATGTGTAATAGGTTCAAGAAGATACACCAAGAGGGGTTCAAGAATATACTCCAGAACGGGTAGTGCAAGTTCCACTTGGAGATTTAAATGAAGTGGCATTGCGAAGACAAGGGAAAGCGACAGCGTATATGAAATCGCCATTCATGTGCAGGGTAGTTGATCCAACAAAGACCTATAATGGCCTTGAAAAGCTATTTGGTAACTGGGTTTCCAAAAAAAAAGGGGTGGACATGTGAGTAAATGTGTCTGTCAATGTAAAGTGCATTAAGATTTTAGTAAGTGTGCTATATATGTTGTTCGTATAAACACATTGGGTTATTGACAGTGCGGAGATAATTTTCAAGTACAAAGACCTGAAGGTGACAAGAGACGATATGCTGACTTTGGAAGAAAATAGACACATATCTATCAGTCTGCTTGACGCTTGGTCTACCATATTGAACACTAAGGAAAAGATTCGAGCCGAGGGCTCACCATGTCGTTTTTTTGCACCAGCATATCCATGTGTAAGAATACATTAATTTGCCAGTTACTTTTGTAGTTATTATTTTAGTTTTACAATAATTCAGACTATGTTAACTGAAACTGTGGCAGCTATACACGCTTGACGCCCATGGCATGTCGGATGACACATCATATCTGTTGTTTAAGAAAGGCATGGTTGTAGGCCTCGAAGCAATGAAACCACAAATAAAAATGAAGGATGTACAACTGGTAAGACGAATATGAAATATTTGGTGCATGAAATATTATGTGCATGTGCATTGATATAATAGTTAAATTAATGTTTGTATTGTAGTTTTTCTTCCCAATTATCCAGCCTTCCCACTGCTACGTCTTGTGCTTCAATGTGAAGAGTGAAAAAATAGAAATTTTGGACTACTCTTCATGCAATCTGACAATGGAGCAGATGTATGATAAGATGCCCTTGTCAATGGTAATAATAATTAATTTATACTGTCCATTTCAATTGTAAAGAAATTAAATTGATGAAGAATTAATGTCATTTATCGTTGAATCTTGTTAAACAGAAGGACCTTTTGACGAAATATCTAGCGGAATGTGGAATAATTGACGGCAACAAGGCATTCCAAAAGGCCAAGGTAGCGAGGTTGACAATGAAATGGAGAGATGTGAAGAACCCGTGTGCTTACGGAATATGGACGATGAGACACATGGAAACATACATGGGTCAAAGTGTGAAGAGTTGGGATATTGGATTAAAGAACGGAGATACAAAGACCATGGCAGCATTAAGGATGAAGTACTGGGCAGCAATAGCTGGGGCAGAAGTGAATGAGCTAAAAGAAGAAAATTTCACGAAAGCAAATGAGTGTGTTCGAGAACTGAGAAATAAAAAGGTCATTTGAGATAAGACTATCACAAACTATGGGGAAGAACATATGTCATCTGTTTTAAAATATTTGAAAACTTATATTTTGATTACTTATATGATTGCTGGTGGTTTTATTACATCTTGGTTTAATTTATTGCGGCGTGCAATTAAATCTTGGTTTAATTTATTGTGCGTGCAATTATATGTTGTTATGTTAAAACTGTGCATATGCAAAAAGGTATTTTCAAGGACTTATGAATCATGAAAAAAAATTGTCAAACAGTTTAGTGCATTATTAAAAGGAGTGAAGTGTGCACTTGAATGATTAGAAGTGCATTAACAAAATGAAACAAGGTCCATTAAAAAATAAAATTTCAAGTCCATCAACAGTTAGAGTATATGAATATTTTTTATTAGAGTATATGAATATTGTAGTATAAAATGATAAGTGCAACAGGTACTGATAGTGTCTGCATTACATGATGAATAGGTGAGAAAATTTTCAAATACATTTGTGTGATAACGTTGAGTGCATATGTAAAAGGAAAAAAGTGCGAAATGAAACTATTAGCAGTGCATTAATAAAAGTACACAAAGTCCATTTTTTGCTTAATATACAAAGTCCATTAATAAAGAAAAATTGAAGTCCATCAACAATGGAATTTCTATTTAATTTAGCTCACCATGCAAGTAGATATTACAATGATAAGACATGCATAATTTACATGAAACCAAATACATTACAGACCAAAAAATGAATTATGGCGACACCTGGAGTTCATTGTGGACATAATAAAAGTGCATTAAAGGATAACTAGCAGTGCATAACTGCCTTGAATTATTGTGAGATGTGGGGTGACTAGCAGTGCATAACTAGCAGTGACCCACTTCACCACAACTAGACTATGTATTACAGGATACATGACGAACGTTGACAGGCACACGAATGAGAGTACACATGTGGACCAAATACATAAGTGAAAATACATAAGTGAATTTGTAAATTAAATAGTGAAATACAAATCGTCATACAACTCTGAGGTTACAGTAATAATAACTAATGAATAGAAAGAAATAATGATAAAAAGGGGATCGAAAGAAACACTACAGACAATTCCAAAATTCCATGAAAACTGTAATCATTTTTCTGAGTTCAAAGGACAATTCCTACTGTCATGATAAACCTTCTGATTACATGTTCTGCAAAGTCTCTTAGTCTTCTTGCTGATTTCAATTGCCTTTTCCTTGTCCCCTTTGATCCTCTTGCCACAACCTTTATTTCGAGCTTGCTGAGGCGGGCGCACACTGACTTCGGTAGGAATGGATGATCCATAAAATGATTTGATAACATCCTTTTTCAAAGTTGATGGTGCACTGTTTTGTTGAGAGGCAGACAACAAGTCTTTCTGTGCCTTAATGACATCTGCAAACTGCTGAAATAAATCAGGGTCGTGCTCAATCATTCCGACACAAAAATGAATATCTGACCACAATTGCTTTATAGCTCCTTTTTTTTCTTCAGTGCCAACACACTGTTGAAAAACATTATCTTCAAACGCATTAAGAGGCTTTAGGATAGAATCTTTGCACCATCTGCGTAACACATATTTATCTGGAATAACATTAACCTTCAGATCTTTAAACACGAAAAATATGTGACGACACAATAAGCCAATCCTTTCAAAATGTTTGCACGTGCAACTTGTAGTACAATCATTTCTATTGTGCTGAACAGTGAAAGTAAAACCTCGCTCATCAGATATAACATACCGAACCATGCCATCTTCAGGATAAACACCAATTACACCACAAGAAAAACAAGCGCAACATATTTCCTGCTGAACGAGATAGAAAATGGAAATATTATAAACAGACGAAGCATATCTCTCAATACTTAAAGGTGTTTTGTACTCAGGAATGGATGACTCAGAAACTTTGATCAACTGTGCACTATTGTGTCTTTGTGAATCCATAGCACTTTCAAACTGCATATAAAATTCAATGAGACTGAAATTCGGATTCGTGAATTCATTGAAAAAGTTATTCTCGCTTTCTGAACGTGACGTAGTCCTAAGCAAACCAGCCATGAAAACGTCACCAAAATAACCAGGAATCCAAAGCCTACGGATTTCAAACATGTGTGTGAACCAGCTGTGATCAAGTAAGTCATATTCTTTCATCACCATATTCCATTCCTTTTCAAATTCAGCAGGCTGAAGATAATGGCTCCACACAACAGAATTCAGTTTATTCAAGAAATCCACATCCTTACTCAAAACAGGTCCAACTTTTGCACTAAGCTTCGACATAATATGCCACATGCAAAATCTGTGACATGTCGTAGTGAACACCTGTGGAATAGCAATCTTCATTGCTGGGTCTTGGTCTGTTATGATGCACTTTGGCTCACGACCCATTGCATTAAGAAAACAACGAAACAACCAAGCATATGATTCAACATCTTCCTTCGATAACAAACCCACAGCAAATGTAACGCATTTGTTATGATTATCAACACCGGTAAAAGGAGCAAAAACCATGTTATACCTGTATTGTGAAATAATGAAATAAAAGTGCATGAAATACCAACGAAAGGTGCAGCAAACAGTGTGATAAGAGAAGGTTATACACAGGCGAGACACATACATAGGTGTACTAAAAAATAATGAATGAAAAAAGAAATTACCGATTTGTCTCATAAGTAGCATCAAAAGAAACAGCATCACCAAATAGAGCATAGTTCCTTATGCAGACAGGATCGGCCCAAAATATGCGTGTCAATTGATCACTCTCATCGATATCATAGTCAAAAGCAAAGGCTGAAGAAACTTCTTTCTTTCTGAAAAGTTTATCTACGAGCATTTGAGCATCCACGCCAACTATGTACGCCTTCAAGTCACGTTTAAAATTCCTAAAATCAACAGATGTGGCACCTATATTGGAATAGCCGCCGACAGTTTCTTTATACAAACGATAACATTTTGTTGTACCAATGTTTGCTTTGACACAATTGAGGAAAAACTTTTGATGACCAATATCCAGTTTCCTGTTCACTTTTAAAAATGGCATGGAAGAACTAGAAGCCATACAATGGTTATGCTTCTCTTCAAACAACGTAACCATGTATGTGTTGGCGCCAGCAAACCTAAGCACTAAACGTGCTTTACATCCAATCCTATTGGAAACTCGGCGTCTCTGTTTCTCATCCTTAATACAGAGGGCAGGAGTTCGTAAATCTTGACCAGAAGGTCGCCCATCAATTTCACCTCCAAGGACAGGATTTTGTAAATCTTGAACAGAAGGTTGCCCATCAATTTCACCTCCTTCGGATTCTGATGACTCATTTTCATGAGTTGCCTCATTATCTGCATCTTCATTAATGCAACCACTGTTGTTATGTGTAGTTTTGCAAAAATTGTTGTTAGATGCATCCTTGCGGGATTTAGATACATTTTTGAATCCCTCCCTATTACATACCAAATATCTCCAAACAATAACACCACCATCAGGAGCCTTTGATGAACTAAAAATACGTGTTTCAAAACCACACACTGATGCATAATGATCATAAAAAACCTTAGCTTCATGCAGGTTGTTGAACAACATACCAACACAAGGTTTTACAGCGGGATCACACTCGGGTGTCCAATACATAGTGGATCCAGGTGAAAGGTGCATTGTTTGGACATCAACGGGTTGGGAAATTGCAGAAGAAGCACTGAAACCAACATCATTTGAATCTGAATGAAAAAGTAAACCATTTGTACACAATCATTCATCAGAATCTTAACATAAGTGAATGCAGTAAAAAATCATTAATTTGAATCTAAATTAAAAGTAAAAACATTTCTTCACATAAACAAACAATGCATTACGTACCACATGTAAGAACATCTAAATAAGTAATTGAGTGCATTAAACAATTCTGGGAAAGCCAGAGTGCATCATGGGAAAGCATTTGGCAGCATCATCATAATACATATATTAACTAGGCATATGCATTATTTTGAATCTGAATTTAAAGTAATAACATTTCCTCACATTAACATAATTCACAAATAGTGCATTATGTACCACACATATGAACATCTAAATAATTAATGGAGTGCATTAAATCAACTTTTGAACTATATTCTCATTAAAAAAATGAATTTCATATAAATCCAGACACATCACAGTCAAAGTGCATCATGGGAAAGCATTTGGTAGCATCATAATACATAATATATTCACATATGCATTATGTACAGTAATACTTTGATTCCTCAGGCAAAATAGAGTGGAACTAGGCAATTTCTAACCTTCCAGAATTTTACATACATTCGAGAAATACAGATGTAAAAACCAGGGAATAGAGAATTGTTAAAAAATATTCACCAAATATATTCACAATTACATCAAAAACATTGAAAGAATCGAAGAGCACATAAAAACTAAAAAAATAATAGCATAACAAAGAACAGAGGAACGATGCTAACCGGTTTCCATGGCAGAATTATGTTTAACCAGCGTCAAGAAGGGAATCGGCTTGACAGACAGGGACGATGGAGAAGAAGCAGGAATGAAACCGCTAGAGAAAGGAAAGAGAAAAGATGCAAAAATTAATGGATGATCAACAAGGAAAGAAAATTTGAGAAACGGTTATGGAAAGAAGAAGGTGCGTAAATAAAGAAAGCCTTCGTACGTGCGTTGGCTAAAAAAAATAAAATGACATGAATAGCCTTTAGAATGAGCAGTTGCACGTGAGATTCAGCACAATATCGGACGGCTCATCTTCATTCTTATTTCTTTCCTGAGATACTATTCTCATTTGAACATAAATCTATATATATATATATATATATATATATATATATATATATATATATATATATATATTGGTTCCGGTGAGAAATTCATCTAATGTGAGAAATGAGAAGGAATCACATCCCTTGGATCTTCACAAATCATACGTTTGCTGCAAGGGTGGTTTAGGTATTGCACTTATTGTTTCTATTTTAACTTATGACCGATTAATCGATCCCTACAATTTCGATCGTTTATTTCTTTCCTTAGCAACACACGACTTCTCTCTTTCCATTCTTTCCATTTGTATCTTCGTTTCCTTCAACCGAAACGATTGATTTTGCTCTCAATCAGAAGCATCTTCTTCATTAGGCTTCTTCATAATCTTAAAAAGTTCCTTTTCTCTACCCGTCATCATGGAACCAGGTTCATACATTATGTTGTTGTTTTTCTTCTATCTTCCATGCGTACTGTGTTGCATTTTCATTTTAATGCTGATATTCGTCTTTTATTTCTCTAAAGTTGTTTTTTAGCTAAATATTTGTGAAATGGCGTTTTTTGCATTCTTCATTGGAATATTTGTTGAACTTTTCTCTAAAGATTTATTTTCACTGCAACTTATTGCAGTATGATTAATCATCTTTATTGGCTAAATATTATTTATTCATCTTCATGAATTTTTTACCTTGCACGTCTTCATTTTATTGTGTTTAACGTTTTTTAACTTTTTGGATGTCAGAGCAAGAATATATTTCTGGTTCTAACCATATGCATTCTCAAAGTCCAACACATTCCTCCGAGCCTATCCAGCTAACGGTGTGTCCATACACATCAAAATATTGGATTCCAGAATGTGATGAAGCTTACAAGCCTAATGTTGGCATGTTATTTGCTTCTCTGCATGACGGCATTGAATTTTATAAACATTATGCGTCTGTGTCTGGTTTTACTACTCGCATAAGTACCATATCAAAGGCTAAAGACGGCATTCTAGTTTCTCGTTATGTGCTTTGTAACAAAGCCGGTTTTAAAAAACCAAAACTTGTGAACAATGAAATGAGACCACCAGAAAATACTGAAGGTAAAAAGAAGTGCACGAGACGTCGTGTTACCAATAGATGTGGATGTATGGCCCGTGTTATATTCAGACTTAATGGGACTGCAGGTTTCAAAGTTTCATTTTTTCAAGAATGCCATAATCATCCCATGTCTTCTGTTGAGTCAAGACCCTTCTTGAAGGTGAATAGGAATCTTGACATTGGTCATCAAAAGTTCATTTTGAACTGTTCAAAAGCAAACATAGGCACAATGAAAAGTTATAAGTTATATAAAGAGCATGTTGGTGGATATATGAACGTTGGTGCTACCGCCGTAGATTTTAAAAATTTTAAAAGGGATTTGAAAGCATATTTTGCTGGAGCAGATGCACAAATGCTTGTTGATAAGTTATTTAGAAAACAAGAAGTTTCTCCTGCTTTCAGGTTTTCTTATGATGTTGATGAAACTGACCAGTTGACTAGACTGTTCTGGATTGACCCGACTGCCAGGAAAAATTATGCGCTCTTTGGTGATGTAATTTCCTTCGATGCTACTTTCAAGACGAACCGGTATTGTTTTTTATTTTAGCATTATTATTGTTTACATTTATGTACTTGCATTTCGTTGTTCTCTAAGTTGCAGTGGTATTTCATGTTTAGTGCAGTGCAGATACTTATTACGATTATGCATTACTAACATTTTTAATCACAATTGCTAACATTTTAATTTTACCTTTATTTCATGTATGAGTTTATGAATTTTTGTTTCATTATATACTCAAGCAAAGAATATGTTTACGAGTGTCTACTTATCTGTGTTTTGTCAGTTTTCCTATATTTGCACCACAACAATTGTACTTGCATTACGTTGTTCTCTAAGTTGCAGAGGTACTTCATGTTTAGTGCACTGCAGATACATATTATGGTAATGCATTAATAACATTTTCTATAATCAGGTACAATATGGTGTTTACACCGTTTACCGGAGTTGATAACCATAAAAAATGTGTTACTTTTGGAGCTGGTTTGTTGCTTAAAGAGGATGTGGAGTCTTACATTTGGGTGTTTCGTTGTTTTCTTGATGCCGTGGGTCGTGAGCCAAGTTGCATCATCACGGACCAAGACCCGTCTATGCGGATTGCAATTGAAAAGGTATTCACGCGTGCTCGTCATCGATATTGCATGTGGCATATCATGTCCAAGCTTACTCAAAAAGTTGGTCCTGTGTTAAGCAAAGATGAAGATTTTTTAAAAAAGATTAATAGTCTTGTTTGGAGCCATTATATTGAGCCAGATGTCTTTGAAAAACGTTGGATCTCAATCATGGAGGAGTTTGACCTCTCTGATCACCCCTGGTTTTCAAATCTTTTTCAATTGCGTCAGTTTTGGATTTCCTCATATTTTCGAGATTTGTATATGGGTGGGTTAGTTCGAACAACATCTCGGTCTGAAAGTGAAAACAACTTTTTTGGGGAATTTTCAAACCCCCATTTCAGTCTGATCGAATTTTATATGCAATTTGAGAGCGCTATGGATTCGCAGAGACACACATTTGCTAAATTAAACTCTGGTTCAGAATCATTTATACCCGTGTACAAGACCCCCTTGGCTATTGAACGTTATGCATCATCACTCTACTCCCTTTCTGTTTTTTATTTAATTCAAGATGAGATCTCTTCAGCATGCTTCGGTTGTCACGTTCATAGGTTGACTGCTACTAATGCTTCTCGTGAATATGTTATTACGGACGACCGCAATCTGACATTTACTATCTCACTTTCCAATGCTGATATGATTACTTCTTGTACTTGCAAGACATTTGAAAGGATTGGGATGTTGTGCCGTCATATATTTTTTGTTTTGAAGGACGTCAAGCAAGGCAAGATCCCAGATAGGTATGTTTGCAGTCGTTGGTGCAGGATTGCTCTTGTTCAACCAATGTATGAGCTTGAAGGGGGTTTGATCGAGCAATGTGTTGAGACTGATGAAAAGAACATGTCCATGAATCAACTTTGGTCTGAGATTTACTCGTGTATTTCTATAGTCGAAGATCAGCCAGTCCTTCTTCAACAATTCGTGGATTTACTAAAACAGCATAAAGAAATGCTGCAGTCTTCTTCCCCAATGAATAATGTCATTCCCTCAAAACAGGACATGTTTGCATCGTTTTTGGGCTCTACTGCACCAACCAATGTCACTGTTCTACCACCGCAACAGGCCAAGAACAAGGGTTCTGGTAAAAGACTGAAAGGCAAGAAAGAGCTTATGATTGATGCAACATCAAAACCTAAACGTCTTTGTAGATCCTGCAGTGAATTGTGTCATCATGATAGTCGAAATTGTCCGCTCAACATGTCTTCCTAGTTTTTATTTTTTTTAATGCAACACTTTTACACTATTACTTCATTACTATTACCAGTTTGGTTTTCATTGTTAACATTGTCACATTTTGCGCATTAGTAAACTTTCTTTGTTCGTTTTATTTCTATTGTATTGCATTATAACAAGTACTTAGTAATTTATACGGCAACAAACTCATTACAAATGTTGCCAAAGAGATTGAGTATAGTGCAAACTACATTTTTAAATAATTATTTATACCTTTTTCTTTATTATGCAACTACCAGTAAATCAACTGCTCAAATCAATATAAGATTCAAACACTCACATGTTAAAACCAACGTGCATTCATTAAACCAAAATATCACGTACAAGTCCTAAATAAAAATGCTACTTCACCAGTAACAACAGAATAATATCCTTAATCCTCCTCTTTACGAATATTGGTAAACTGATTGAGTATAGTGTGAACTTCATTATTTTACCTTTATTTATACACTTTTCTTTATTAAACAACTACCTGTAAAACCATTTTTCAAAACAAATACATTCACTATTTGTTCTAAGTTTGCATCATAATAACAAACACATTGCACCCCATCAAAACATTGTTGCACCAGTACTTATTCCTGGCGGAAAGCAAGATTATTTGTTATTAAATCATCTCAAACTGCATTAAATTAGGCGTTCGTAGCACTAAATTTAGCATGTCATGCAACCTTCAAGCATCTGTTTTATCATCACAAATATCATTCGCTGCACTACAAAGTATCATTCCATCTCACCTTCAATCATCTTATTTTGCACCATATGTAACATTATGTGAAAAACATCTGCATTATGTGACTACATGTATACCAACTGCTCAAATAAAAATCAAATGCCAACAATCACATACAAAAACTAACATGTAATCATTAAACCAAAATATCATTCAAAATAAAGCATCATTCAGGTTGCATTGTTTTGTCAACTCTCAAAAAACACTTCACCAGTAACAACAAAAAATATTCTTAATCCTCCTCAAAACCCCTGCATCTTTCATCCCTGATTATTTTTTCTTTTTATCGTACTCATGCGTAGGAAGTCTGTTTGTGTCTTTGAGTTCATTAATCATGCTTGTCACAATTTTATGACAATATCTGTGACGTAGCACTGTGAGCTGCTTCGTTTCACCCGGTTTCAGCCCACAATCCCAGTCTCTCCCCCCTCTACCCTTGTATGTCTCCATGTGGCGCATGGTGTAGATCCCATAGTTGAATACACTCTTTGCTTCACGCCAGTCCATATTCAGTCTCTTTGGTTTCGCTTTTGCCATTGCCCTTGTTGTTTTGTTCTCCAGACCGCACTCTTTCATAAATGTCACCAACATGTCGCGCTGTTATTTCAACAAATACATATTCCAATCAGTATTGCTTAACATCATTAAAGTTTTTATATTAAAGCTGAAATATCTACAACTATAATCATCAGTTTACCACTATGAGGGGCATTTTGCCGTATTTGTTATCGATACTAACTCTATCACCCGCACTGTCAATTATATCCACACTACTTGACTTCATATCACAACATATGAGGTAGCAATGTCTTGGTTGCACTATGGGGAACATGAACTGCACTTATTCAAAAAAAACATTAACTTATCACTCGTCTTAAACCATCCCACCACATTAATAACACTACTTTCACACTGTCACGCCCCGGACCTACCGGACACGTCAACAACCCGCCGTACAGTACGAATAGTCAACCGCAGTCCAACTCATACATACTATACTAGGCGTCTTGAATACCATTCACACATAGTACATCCATAAACAAACATAATGTAAAATATTCATTTAAAGCAGCGGAAACATTAATACACGTATTCAAGCCACACGTGGCAAACATGGGCATACAAGCCCCCAAATAGTATTCAAAATAATTTCCATGAGCATTATTGTAATTGTTTAAAACAGAAACGGAAGAAGCACGAACCACGTCCTCCTCCTTTGATCTTCCCGAAGCAACGGGCGTGGTAGCAACCTTCAAGTCCTACCTGAAACTGTGAGGTGGCCTCCCCCGTGAAGGGGAGGTCAGTACTTGGAAGCATTTGACAAGTACAATGACAACTATACTAAGTATAATCAACGTTTCAATTTCCAAGACCCTCAAATAGGGTGATATTACAATATAGGTCATAACTCGTGGTTACCCTCTTTACAAATATACTTACTTTATATATAAAGTCAAGTAGTCGGCCGAAGGCTCATGTTTACTTTGAAAACATTTAACCCCTCCCCCGTGACTTCAAGCCACACCCATCTATATCAGTTTACCATGCTAGAGGCTTCCTCTAGTCATGTTTTGTCGTGCTAGAGGCTGACTCTAGTCACTACATTCGGTGTTAGAGGCTTCCTCTAATCACCTTTCATACTTTGTGCTGGAGGCTTCCTCCAGTCACATTACATTATGCTAGAGGCTTCCTCTAGTCATGTTTTGTCGTGCTAGAGGCTGACTCTAGTCACTACATTCGGTGTTAGAGGCTTCCTCTAATCACCTTTCATACTTTGTGCTGGAGGCTTCCTCCAGTCACATTACATTATGCTAGAGGCTTCCTCTAGTCATCTTACACTACGCTAGAGGCTTCCTCTAGTCGTCCTACACGAATGCTGGAGGCTTCCTCCAGTCATTCCTCATCGTGCTAGAGGCTTCCTCTAGTCACGATACTACTCACTAAGCAAATTCTATGCCTAGGTTTTCTCTATCTTGAGTAGCCTATGAGGCCTACTCCTAATGTAATTTAGCGGTTACCCATTCCTACCTTAAGACATCTCATAAGACTACTTAAGGTGCATCCTTCACAATCCAAGCCCTTAGGATTTGTTCTATCACTTTTTACGCTAACATCCCCGGCTAGTATTTCTATACTAATCATTTAACCTTAATAAGCCAATGCAATTTCATAGTAATTTGGCTATTTCAATTTAATTCCACATTCAAGTATAACTTGGTTCTAATATCAAAATATCACTTTTATCCTTCCATGACTTCCTTACATGAGGTAAAAGTATATTTATCACAATTCATTTATAGTTTACACGCTATTATACCATTGTATTCATAATACATAATCATACACAATTTATTCATAAATTTGTATATTATGCACTTTTACTTATAAACAATAATAATCTCATTTAGGCATTTTGTTATATTATAAATAAATCATGCCAAACACATATAATTCATTTAGGTAATCTTATGAAATTAACCCAATAATTATAAGCAATGTAGTCGGTCATCCTCACCTTAATTGAGCTTCAAATCTTTCTTTCTTGATCCCATGGTCAAAGCTTTGGCCAAGGAAGATTGAGAACTGATTCCTTGCTTGGAATTGAGTGTTAAACAGCCTCTCCAAAGTGCTAGTTCAACTCCTAACCGAGGACACAAAAACAGTCCCTAGAACGGGTGTTCCCGACGAAATCGTTCCCTAACCTTTCAAGGTTTTGTCTAGATTAGTATCTAACTTTTCCAACAATTAAAGTCACTTTATAATAACATTTTATACACTTCAATCAGTGTATAATAGTTCTTCAATCATTTATATGGTTTAGACAATAGAGAGGAAAGTTTTGGATTCAAACTTACCTTGAATACAAAAAACGTATTCCGCGAGGTTGTGTTTTGCTCGGACGATTTGGAAGCCTTCCACTACTCCGATTGATGCAAACCAGACCTTCACGGATTCCTCGTCTTGAGAGCTTTCTGTGGGTATCTCGCACGCCTTATTTGGATGTGTATAACTCGGGATATGAAGCAAACAAGTAACCTTACGCACTGGAAAACGAACCTGCGGCAGCTTCCCCTTTCTCTTGCTTTCTTGGTTGTGTGGCTCTCTCCTTCTCCCTTATCCTTGGGAGTTCGAATGAGGGGCTTAAGGGAGTGTCCAAGACCCTTCAATAAGGGTGGATAAGTTGTGTGGAGTGAAATGAATTGGTATGGTCTCCATGAGATGTTTTTAGACATGGGTGGGTCTCACTTTTGATCTCTTTGTCATAAGATGTCTCTTTGTACTCATTCTAATTTATTTAGAACAAGTCAACTCTCTACATCATATTATTGATCTCCATTATGTGTATGATCATCCCAATAATTTACTTGATGGATATTATAGAAGGAAAATCCTACTCCCATTATTTAGATCAATAATGCCAAAGATGGGGTTATAGGCATTTGTATTCTTCTTTAATCATTCTATCACTTATTTGACATTTGTCATACATATTAATGGGCTACTAGCCATGTGGGTCACTCCCGAGTGGGTCTAGAACGCCATTCTCGAATACTTGCTATTTTTAGCAGGTTGGACTCAAAATAACGTTTGGGCCGTCCGACCTTACTCGGACTGTCTTGAAAGGTCATGTATCACAATTTGGATAATGTTGGGCTCTTTTATTTATTAATAAGACCCAAATAGTATTTGCATGCCCGTCACTAATATACGAGTTCGAACAGTACACTAATCGATCATTAATTACGTAAAACATTAATCGTTTTACAATTGTTTGGGAAACAGAAATCCAATACATAAACTTTGAATTTTTAAATCAAATTTTCAAGGACGTTCGGGCGCGGTGTCACAAGTTCACCCCCCCTTAACAGGAATTTCGTCCCCGAAATTCACAGCTCTACTCGAATAGGAAAGCATACTGCTTCCTCATCAAAGCCTCTGTTTCCCACGTCTCTTCTTCGACCCGATCGCTCTTCCAAAGTACTTTAACCATTGGGACTTCTTTGCTCCTCAGTTTCTTCACCTTCCTATCGGTGACCTTGATAGGTTGCACAGCGTAGTTCAAATCCTCACGTACCTCTACAGGTGGTTCCTTCAATACGTGAGAGGGATCATGCACATACTTCTTAAGCATGGATACATGAAATACATTATGTATCTTCTCTAATTCAGGAGTTAACTGCAGACGATATGCTACGGCCCCAATCTTTTCTATAATTCTGAATGGACCTATGTATCGGGGATTAAGCTTTCCTCGGGTTTGGAATCGTATGATTCCTTTCCAAGGAGAAACTTTCAAGAATACCTCGTCATCAACCTTAAACTCTAAGGTTCTCCGGCGCTTATCTGCATAACTCTTTTGTCTATCCTGAGCCGCCTTGAGTCTCTCTCGAATCAACTTTACCTTTGACTTGGTGATCTCCACCAACTCAGTACCCTCGAGTTTGGCCATGCCAACCTCGTCCCAGCATAACGGTGTACGACACCTCCTCCCATACAATGCCTCGTATGGAGGCATGCCGATGCTTGCCTGATAACTGTTGTTATAGGCGAACTCCACAAGTGCTAAGTGGTTGTCCCAACTCCCTTGGAACTCCAATGCACACGCCCTCAGCATGTCTTCTAAGATCTGTATGACTCTTTCAGACTGTCCATCTGTCTGTGGGTGGAAAGCAGTACTGAACTTCAACCTCGTTCCCATAGACTCTTGAAATTTTGGCCAAAAACGTGACGTGAATCGTGGGTCTCTATCGGATACAATGGTCACTGGAACACCATGTAACCTCACGATCTCGTCCGTATACAATTTGGCTAACCTCTCGAGTGGGTAGGTAGTGTTGATAGGTAAAAAGTGTGTCCTCTTTGTGAGCCTATCAACAACAACCCAAACCGCGTCATAGTTCCTGATAGTCCGTGGTAAGCCTACCACGAAATCCATAGTCACGTGCTCCCACTTCCATTCAGGGATGGAAAGTGGTTGTAATAAGCCTGCTGGATGCTGATGTTCTGCCTTAACTTGTTGATAAGTAAGGCATCGACTGATGTACTCGGCTATTTCCCTCTTCATCCCAGACCACCAGTAACTTTCTTTCAAATCACGGTACATTTTCGTGCTCCCAAGGTGCATGGCATAAGCCGATGAATGAGCCTCCTCTAAGATGGACTTTCGGAGCTCATCATCTGACGGTACACACACTCGGTCACGAAATAACAAGAGACCATCGTCTCTTTCCCTGAAATCCTCCACCGGTCCCGCTTGCATGCGTTCCCGGACCTTCATAAGTTCTGTGTCCGTCTCTTGACCCTTCTTGATCTCCTCAAGTAAGGTTGGTCTCACTTCGAATCGTGCCAATAAGGCACCGTCGTTAGATACATCCAATTGGTCCCTCAGTGCCCTCAAACTAGTCAACAATGCCCCAGACGAACTCTTCCGACTGAGGGCATCTGCTACAACGTTTTCCTTGCCTGGATGGTACTCAATAACTTGATGGTAGTCCTTTATCAACTCCATCCACCGTCTCTGTCTCATGTTTAACTCTTTCTGAGTAAACACGTACTTCAAGCTCTTATGATCAGTATATATGTGACACGTCTCTCCGTAGAGATAATGTCTCCAAATCTTCAGTGCAAACACTACTGCTCCAGCTCCAGATCATGGGTAGGATAATTTACCTCATGCTTCTTCAACTGTCGCGAAGCATAGGCAATTACCCTCCCCTCCTGCATCAACACACACCCAAACCCTTGGATGCTCGCATCACTATAGACATCGTACCCCATACCCTGTTTGGGTAATGCAAGTACCGGTGCCTCGGTCAACCTCTTCTTCAGTTCGATGAATCCTTTCTCACATTTGTCATCCCATATAAACTTAGTTCCCTTTCGAGTGAGCTTCGTCAACGGCGATGCCAAAACGGAGAACTTCTCCAAGAACTTTCTGTAGTAGCCTGCCAACCCAAGGAAACTACGAATTTCCTTGACGTTCTTTGGTCTCTCCCACTCGGTAATGGCTTCTATCTTCTTGCTATCAATGGCAATTCCCGATCCCGAAACTACATGCCCGAGAAAGCCAATTTCCTTTAGCCAAAATTCACATTTAGAGAATTTGGCATAGAGTTGCTTCCCCTGTAGCGTCTCGAGGACAAGTATCAAGTGCTCCTCATGTTCTTCTTCACTCCTTGAGTAAATCAAGATGTCATCTATGAACACGACCACGAATCGATCCAAGCATTTATGGAATACTCGGTTCATCAAGTCCATGAATGCCGCTGGGGCATTTGTTAACCCAAACGACATAACGAGGAACTCAAAATGCCCATACCTTGTGCGGAAAGCACTCTTTGGTATGTCATCTTTCTTGATCTTCAATTGATGGTACCCCGACCTCAAGTCAATCTTCGAAAACACGGTTGCTCCTCGTAGTTGATCAAACAAGTCATCAATCCTAGGCAAAGGATACCTATTCTTGATTGTGACCTTGTTCAGTCGACAATAGTCAATGCACATTCGAAGTGTCCCACCTTTCTTTTTCACAAAAAGAACTGGTGCTCCCCACGGGGAGTGTCTTGCTCTAATGAAACCATTATCCAATAGCTCTTGCAATTGGGTTTTCAATTCATTAAGTTCAGCAGGTGCCATCCGACATGGCGGTATAGAGATTGGTTTCGTACCGGGTTCGACCTCGATCACAAATTCAATCTCCCTATTAGGTGGAAGCCCCGGTATGTCTTTAGGGAAAACATCCGGGTACTTACAAACCACCCTCACATCATCGATGTTCGTTTCCTCTTTGGTTATGTCAACCACGTATGCTAGATATGCGTGGCATCCCTTTCTCATCCTACTTCTCGCTCTCACGACGAATATGATACATCTGTTTGATCTCCCTCGATCGCCCTCGAAGCGTAGGGTCTCCCCATCATTGCCTTCGAGTTTAAGAACCTTCGTGTAGCAATCTACCCTAGCATGGTTCCTTTCTAGCCAATCCAACCCTAGGATTGCATCGAATTCAATCATGCTCAGCGGTACGAAGTCACACGTCAAGGTTTGACCATTAACTTCCACCCCACAAGATGGATTGTAACGAGTTGTTTCCACGTCATCCCCTAGTGGTGTTGATACCACTAAGGTTTGCATCAATGGTGCGGATTGCACTTCCAAACTCTTGGCGAACGCTTCATTCACAAATGAACGTTGCGCCCCGGTATCGATAAGGATTCGCGCATCCTTCCCATTAATCTTTAGTGTCCCTACATTCATGAACCATGTAAGACATCTTTCCTACCCTCCCTACTCATTTAGAGAGGTTTATTATGTTCACACACGTGTTTGAGATCAAGAACGGGTCTTAACGTTGCAATACGGCGCAAAAAAGTCGACTTTGGGCTGTCCAGGAGGTACGCACGGCGTGCCTAGGAGGTACGCACGGCGTGCGTGTCTTATAACCTCAAAACGGAGCTACTGCCACCAACGCACGGACCAACGCACGGACAACGCACGTCCGTGCGTATAGCAATTTCTTCCCGGTTGCTACTGCCACCAACACACGGACCAACGCACGGACAACGCACGGCCGTGCGTATAGCAATTTCTTCCCGGTTGCTACTGCCACCAACGCACGGACCAACGCACGGACAACGCACGGCCGTGCGTATGGTCCAGCCTGGTGTGCGTTGGCAAAAAATCAGCCGTCTTTCACCCGATTTTCGCTCCGTTTGACCCCCAAGCTTCGTGCAACGATCCCAACGACTAGCAACCTCAATTTATGGACTAATTAAGGATAAAAAACAAGTATACAAGAGGTACTACCTTCAACGGAATCCAGGTTAGCTTGAGCATCCGCCTCCGTCATCGCATAGACCCTAGCTTGGGTCCTTCCTTGGTTCACGGATGGCGCGTTGCTCGTGCTTGCTCCCCCATGTCCCCTGCTCCCTTGAGAAACCTCGGTTTGGTTTTCATTTCTTGTAGTTCCACCACTTGACCCCGAAGTTTGGTTTTGCACAATTTGTGGGCAACTCACTCTCGTGTGCCCGACCTCTGTGCATTGATAGCACCTGGGAGGGTCCTGACACTTACCCGAGTGGTGTTTCTTGCAATTGTTGCACTTAGGTACCCTCGAAACTTTTGACCTCGAGTTCGGGCCACCCAAGCCTCGACTCCACTCAAGTGATAGTGTCTGCGCCCTGAAGGTTTTGTCACCCTCAACGTTTGTCCTCCTTGAATGTCTTTGGGAATCGTTGTCTCCCCGCTTCCTTTTCCTTACTAATGGTATGCCCTCAGCTTGCCTAGCTTGGCGTTTTTGTATAAGCCTCACACGTTCACGTTGAAGCCAATCTATGACCATGCCCATTTGTTCAATGGGTGCACCATCAAGGTCCTCATCACTCAAATCATCTCCTTCGTCACCCGAAGCCTTGAGTGGTTCAGTTTTGCCATAACAAGGTGATTCTTCCTTGGTCTTAACATGACCACCACTCACGATTTGAGCTTCAAGAGTTTCGTGCACCTTTGGTCCTAAGGGCTTTTCTCGGTTGGCATGCCCGGTTCCACCCGGTGCAAACCCTTCCGAGTTCTCCCTATTCATAATACCACCATCACCCTCCATCGCTGAAAGAAATAATTAGAATGAGTCATTAGACTCGTTTCAAATGTCAACTGACAGATAGGCACTTAAGACATCTCTTGGGCCAAGTCACCGCCATACCAATCGTTAAGGGCGCCATCTTAACAATTAGAGACCTTGCAACTCAAACACCAAAAGTTCTTAAGTACAAAACATTTTTGCTCATGGTTTTCAAAAATCATTTTGAAAAGAGAATTTTGAGACTTCATTATGAAGTTTATGGACTAAGGCTCTGATACCAATTAAATTGTCACGCCCCGGACCTACCGGACACGTCAACAACCCGCCGTACAGTACGAATAGTCAACCGCAGTCCAACTCATACATACTATACTAGGCGTCTTGAATACCATTCACACATAGTACATCCATAAACAAACATAATGTAAAATATTCATTTAAAGCAGCGGAAACATTAATACACGTATTCAAGCCACACGTGGCAAACATGGGCATACAAGCCCCCAAATAGTATTCAAAATAATTTCCATGAGCATTATTGTAATTGTTTAAAACAGAAACGGAAGAAGCACGAACCACGTCCTCCTCCTTTGATCTTCCCGAAGCAACGGGCGTGGTAGCAACCTTCAAGTCCTACCTGAAACTGTGAGGTGGCCTCCCCCGTGAAGGGGAGGTCAGTACTTGGAAGCATTTGACAAGTACAATGACAACTATACTAAGTATAATCAACGTTTCAATTTCCAAGACCCTCAAATAGGGTGATATTACAATATAGGTCATAACTCGTGGTTACCCTCTTTACAAATATACTTACTTTATATATAAAGTCAAGTAGTCGGCCGAAGGCTCATGTTTACTTTGAAAACATTTAACCCCTCCCCCGTGACTTCAAGCCACACCCATCTATATCAGTTTACCATGCTAGAGGCTTCCTCTAGTCATGTTTTGTCGTGCTAGAGGCTGACTCTAGTCACTACATTCGGTGTTAGAGGCTTCCTCTAATCACCTTTCATACTTTGTGCTGGAGGCTTCCTCCAGTCACATTACATTATGCTAGAGGCTTCCTCTAGTCATGTTTTGTCGTGCTAGAGGCTGACTCTAGTCACTACATTCGGTGTTAGAGGCTTCCTCTAATCACCTTTCATACTTTGTGCTGGAGGCTTCCTCCAGTCACATTACATTATGCTAGAGGCTTCCTCTAGTCATCTTACACTACGCTAGAGGCTTCCTCTAGTCGTCCTACACGAATGCTGGAGGCTTCCTCCAGTCATTCCTCATCGTGCTAGAGGCTTCCTCTAGTCACGATACTACTCACTAAGCAAATTCTATGCCTAGGTTTTCTCTATCTTGAGTAGCCTATGAGGCCTACTCCTAATGTAATTTAGCGGTTACCCATTCCTACCTTAAGACATCTCATAAGACTACTTAAGGTGCATCCTTCACAATCCAAGCCCTTAGGATTTGTTCTATCACTTTTTACGCTAACATCCCCGGCTAGTATTTCTATACTAATCATTTAACCTTAATAAGCCAATGCAATTTCATAGTAATTTGGCTATTTCAATTTAATTCCACATTCAAGTATAACTTGGTTCTAATATCAAAATATCACTTTTATCCTTCCATGACTTCCTTACATGAGGTAAAAGTATATTTATCACAATTCATTTATAGTTTACACGCTATTATACCATTGTATTCATAATACATAATCATACACAATTTATTCATAAATTTGTATATTATGCACTTTTACTTATAAACAATAATAATCTCATTTAGGCATTTTGTTATATTATAAATAAATCATGCCAAACACATATAATTCATTTAGGTAATCTTATGAAATTAACCCAATAATTATAAGCAATGTAGTCGGTCATCCTCACCTTAATTGAGCTTCAAATCTTTCTTTCTTGATCCCATGGTCAAAGCTTTGGCCAAGGAAGATTGAGAACTGATTCCTTGCTTGGAATTGAGTGTTAAACAGCCTCTCCAAAGTGCTAGTTCAACTCCTAACCGAGGACACAAAAACAGTCCCTAGAACGGGTGTTCCCGACGAAATCGTTCCCTAACCTTTCAAGGTTTTGTCTAGATTAGTATCTAACTTTTCCAACAATTAAAGTCACTTTATAATAACATTTTATACACTTCAATCAGTGTATAATAGTTCTTCAATCATTTATATGGTTTAGACAATAGAGAGGAAAGTTTTGGATTCAAACTTACCTTGAATACAAAAAACGTATTCCGCGAGGTTGTGTTTTGCTCGGACGATTTGGAAGCCTTCCACTACTCCGATTGATGCAAACCAGACCTTCACGGATTCCTCGTCTTGAGAGCTTTCTGTGGGTATCTCGCACGCCTTATTTGGATGTGTATAACTCGGGATATGAAGCAAACAAGTAACCTTACGCACTGGAAAACGAACCTGCGGCAGCTTCCCCTTTCTCTTGCTTTCTTGGTTGTGTGGCTCTCTCCTTCTCCCTTATCCTTGGGAGTTCGAATGAGGGGCTTAAGGGAGTGTCCAAGACCCTTCAATAAGGGTGGATAAGTTGTGTGGAGTGAAATGAATTGGTATGGTCTCCATGAGATGTTTTTAGACATGGGTGGGTCTCACTTTTGATCTCTTTGTCATAAGATGTCTCTTTGTACTCATTCTAATTTATTTAGAACAAGTCAACTCTCTACATCATATTATTGATCTCCATTATGTGTATGATCATCCCAATAATTTACTTGATGGATATTATAGAAGGAAAATCCTACTCCCATTATTTAGATCAATAATGCCAAAGATGGGGTTATAGGCATTTGTATTCTTCTTTAATCATTCTATCACTTATTTGACATTTGTCATACATATTAATGGGCTACTAGCCATGTGGGTCACTCCCGAGTGGGTCTAGAACGCCATTCTCGAATACTTGCTATTTTTAGCAGGTTGGACTCAAAATAACGTTTGGGCCGTCCGACCTTACTCGGACTGTCTTGAAAGGTCATGTATCACAATTTGGATAATGTTGGGCTCTTTTATTTATTAATAAGACCCAAATAGTATTTGCATGCCCGTCACTAATATACGAGTTCGAACAGTACACTAATCGATCATTAATTACGTAAAACATTAATCGTTTTACAATTGTTTGGGAAACAGAAATCCAATACATAAACTTTGAATTTTTAAATCAAATTTTCAAGGACGTTCGGGCGCGGTGTCACACACACTTAACAAGTCCACTGCATCAAGTGTAGTCTCTACTTCTTCCATCTCCAAAGCTGCCAGTACAAATCGTTTAAACATTGAATACGCCTCTTCGGGACCAATGTGATCAGCTGTCGTATACAGCTGCAATTGCTTCTTAATTTAGTTCACATTTTACCATGTTTACTGCATCAAACAGTAGTAAACCTTATGCAAACTTACACAAGGATATGATTCTATGAACAATCGTGTAGGTGAGTTGTCACTTTTTCCTATCTCCATCGTATTCATAATCATCGACCACGCATCAAGAACAGTCTCCACAATGTGTTTGCCCTCATCCAACGTCGTTAAATCACCATGAGATACCTCCAGACCTTTATATTTGAATATCACTTTTGACCTGCACCCATTTATTCATTTATTTCATTTAACAAAAAATAAAATAACAACTTCACTTTACAATCTGAATAATATCTTACTTGTCTTCATCTTTCTCTCTAAAAATCCAATCTGCAATCATTTTTTCTTGACGGGTCAAAGTCATTTTTGCATCTACCACGCGTACAATATAAGGCGACTTCTTCAGGTTAGACGCCCTTTGCCTACGCTTAGCTCGTTCATTCCTATTCATCGTCTTCTCCATTTCCTGCACATTCATGTCTCTTAGTTGCAATTGTACTATCAAGTGAGCACTTGTTTTCACTCTCTACATTTCAAAACTTGTACTTTGCATGGACTTACCTTTGGTATGCAGTCTATTGCACTAGGAACCATCGTTAGGCTCATCTCTTTAGCACTTTACGTAAAAAACATGGATTAGTTTAAAATAAGTTAGATCGAATGTTTTCAGTCTCTTCATTTCAAAAGTTACTTGTACTTTGCATTCCACTTACCTTTGGTGTGCCGTCTATTACACTAGGAACCATCGTTTCAGTCATCTCTTTACCACTATACATAAAAAACATGGATTACTTTAAAATAAGTTAGACTGGATGTTATCATTAATAACTTGCATTTCACCTTACCGTTTCATTGGTCTCACTGTTTTTCACATCACTCAATGCCTGGGTTTCCATTTCCACTGGCCCGTCATTACCTCCTTCCACTCCAGGACCTAATATATCTTGTGTCAATCCAATACTAAAAGATGGAAATTCGTCCATCCTTTTCTTGTAACCTGCTCTTCTCACCATTGCATTCTCCATCTCTTTCAGTGCTTCAATGTTGCTTGGGTTACCCCAGAAATCTTCTAATGCTTTTTCCTCGTCTGTTTTTTCCTCAAAAGTAGTACGCAAATCTCCATCTTTGTTGCTATTTAATCCCAGCAACATCTTCGCTGCTTCTTGCAACTTAACAAAGTTTTCATTTTCCAAAACATCTTTTGGTGCACCTTCCACCATTGCAATGATTTCGACAACATGGTTTGCAAATACCTTGGTCTTCTCAGCAAACTTATCCATATACTCCTGCATTCATAAATGTGCATCAGTGCTAGTATGCATCTCCCAAACCCTCATTAGCACAATTAATATTTATTTCATCAGTAAATTTTACCTGAGTTGCATTAAAGTTGCACGTTCCATTCTGCATTTCTTCCAACTCAGCTTGTACATTTGTTGCTCCTTCAACCCTGTTCGTCTGCCCAATATCCTCTCCAGTACCAATCACAATATTCTGATTCTCTTGTCTTAATGGACCATCATCGTGTCCTATTCCAAATCCTCCACCTTTCATCTCTTCGCGTTCCCTAAGCCTCAGTAGCTTTGCATCCCAGCCTTCGAATGCAGGAACACTCCTTACAACGGTTCTCTTGTATACCATCACTCGATCAACATACAAGATCTGCATCAAGTAAACAATACTTGATCAATATTCCTAATATATCAATCTAAAATTCGTTATATAATATAATATTAATCAATTTAACTAAATAATGCCATACAAACAATCATGCCGTTAGAAATATCAAAGGCCCTGTAAAGACCATATCCTTGTTCTCTTCCCATTCTCGCTTATTTTCAACCAAACTTGACACAACACTTTCACACCAATTAAAGTTCCTCACTTGTTCAACATCAGTCAAGTTGTTCAGATAGTAAGGATTTGCATATCCTGCTTTTGTGCTCTCAACTAGAACTGAAACAATAAGAACAATAAAGTTCCTTACAAACCACTCATCTCCATCTGTATGTTTCAGCATCTCTGCACACACCTCCGACGGTGTAATTTTCAAATCTTCTTTTCCAAATAACTTTTTCCACTCCTCAATCATTTCACATGTTTCTTTTCTTTTCATCCTCACTAAGCATTTACCTCCCATCGGTATTCCCAACACATCTGCCACATCACTTTCCTTAATATGCATCTTACTTCCACCTTCCAGAACCAAATCGCATGACTTTGCATTAAACCTGTCTACTAACCAGAATCCTAATTTTGCTGGTATTTCTGTGATGTTAAACCTCAAAAGTGCACCAAATCCCATTCGTTTAACTACAGCTCTTTGTGCATCACTCAGTTTGCTTAATGCATTAACTAGGAGACTTGGCGAAGTTCTGGTTTTGATCGGCCTGTACTCTTGTTTAAGTGTTGAGATCTTCACTCTCTTCTTGTGTGTACGATCACCACCTTGATGTGCCTCCGCAGCTCTAGTATTCACTTCAGCAGTAATTATTGGCGGTGCAACGAAGTCATCATCACTTGCATTAGCGCTCTTGTCATCATCTGTATCTTCATTCCAATTTACTAAACAATGGCCTCTTTTCCTTCCACAGACAACGTTTCCCGCTTTCTTTATTATCTTTTGTGCTTTATCTTTTTTTCCACTCCTTGTGGTTACTTGCTGCCGCTCCGTTGCTGTGAAATTTAAAACAAACCATTAATCTACCCACTATCAATAAACATGCTCATTGCCACATTGTACTACAACAAACATATGCTGCCACAAACAATTCATTTACTGCACATTTTAACCATTTCATTGTAATACAACTTCACTGCAATATGCAATTCCACATACAGTTTCACATATATTCAACTACATCCAAATTCATGTTATGGGATATGCATTATAACTCTCACATAATGCACCAAAACAAGAGAAACACAAATAAAGGACAAATCTTCTTCACTCTATTACATGCACTAATTTATTAACACGCACATACTCATTTGCACTAAACCATCAGAATCCTTGCACCACATTTACCATAAGTCCATAAATACACCCAATCCTTCTAAATACACCTAACTTTTAATGCATGAACATAATTTCTACTCTTTCATGTAAAAAGGTCTTTACTTGTAGTAACTTTGACATTTTGTGCCAATACGCATTATTGTTTATCTGCATTTTTTATTATCAAAATGACCCTTACTTGTACCACAACCTAAAAAAAGGTTTTTTTGTGCAGTAAATCATCACACTGGCCGCAGCACATAAACCCCAAACAACTCAATCCCACTGTTATTAACACACCTCACTTTAAATCGAAACACTAATCTGCTTCTTGTATTGATTGCTCTATAATATTCTACTTTTGCACTAGATTTCTAAGTAATTGCACTACCAACCGGCCTGTCCTCCCCCCTTCCCTACATTAAACCCATCAGACCACACACACAAATAACCCACCATTAATGATTCTTTGCTCACGACACAACATGCAATGCACACACAAATAAGATGCACCATTATTTAAATATACTGAAATGCATGTTCCGTTAACGATTAAGAATACCTTCAGTAGCTTCAACTTCGTCTTTCTTCTCTCTTTCATGCCTTCTCTTTGCCTGCGCTTTCTTCATTTGGCTCGTTCGTTGCAGCAATATCTCCTCTCTCTGAAGTGCTCTGTTCTCACTCTTGTCGATAATACGCGCGTTTGTCGATACTATTTACTTAAAAGAAAGAAACGATTTAATTTCCTTCCTAATTTGAACCCAGGTTATTAAATGGGGTTGGGCATTGCAATATTATTTTAAAAAAGAAACGATTACTTCCTTTTTTACTACTTTGCCTAATTGACTTATACACCCTTCGTCTTAATTACTCCAAACGAACCATCCGTTTTTTATATTCTTTCCTTAAAAATACTGCATCTCAAATCTTTAATTGCTGCCACACGATTTCTCTAATCAATGTCCAGGGTTTTTTCTCATTTCTCATCTAATGATGTCTTCTCACTTGAATAAATATATATATATATAGGTTCATGTGAGAACTTAATCTTAGGAGAGTAAAAAAGAGTAAATGTGAGCCATTAGATGAAGCATCTATTTTAATTTCTAATAAATTTTCGTAGAGGGCAGTTATGTGATTTCTCCTAATACTTAATGCACTCCGTTTAT